AGCACCGGCCCTCGAGACCATGGCTCCCCAGAACGGCTGGTCACCAAAGAATGGCACAATGATGGTAGGCTTGCCTGCCTGGATACCTGCGGCAGTAGTACCTGCACCGCCATGATGGCAAACAGCGGACACGTGCTTGAACAGCCAGTCGTGGGGTACATTGCCCAGCATGAAGACACCTTCCGGAAGTCCAACATCTTCCGCGCCTAGGCCGCCCCAGCCCTTGGAGACTAGTGCGCGCACACCCGTCTGATGAACAGCGTCGAAGATCATCCTGGTCAGGGCGTTCGGGTCATCAACTACGATAGAGCCGAATCCGATGTAAACGGGAGGAGGCCCAGCAGCCAAGAATGCTGCCAAATCAGGTTCCGGGGTGAATGCCGAGGCCAGGTTCAAAAAGTAGAATCCCGAGATATCGATCTCGCGGCCCCAGTCATTCGGCTTGGGAATCAGTGCCGGGGACCAGCAATACGTATAGGGGATCCTCAATCTCGTCAACACACCCGGGGCCCAAATGAGTGACATGGGCTCCAAGTCCAGCGCTTTATCTCTGAACCGGTTGATGACGTCGCCCAGGCCCTGCCATGTCATCATCTCAACCAGCGCGTAGGAAACATAGTTGGTCATGACCGTGTCGGTGTTTGTCGACTGAATGTTGGCCAGCGGGTGAGGAAAGGCGCGCGTAGGCGTCCACGGCATGGTGAACATCAAGTGCAAAGGAATTCCCATCTTCTCCGCGATATGGATATGCGCGAAGCTCGGTGGGTTCGCAATGATGGCATCGGCCACAAAGGGCTTCTGCGTGGGGTCGCCAGGTATTCCATAGTGCTCGTCCAACGGTTGATCCTTGGCATGCGGTTTCGGCGGCGGTCCCAACCCGTTGCCCGCCTCGATACACGAGCGCCAGCACCCGAGAAGGATGTCCTGGATTCCCCTACGGCGCTTGCTAACCTCTCCGCTCTTGAGCGTGTCGAAGCCGGGCATCAGACCGGGGTTCTTGACCATGAAGGCCATGAGCTCGGCGGGGTCGCCACCGATGCAAAAGAACTCCAGCCCATTCTCCTCGACAAACTTTTGAAACGTCGCGTGTGTGGCTATCCGCACGCGGTGGCCGTAGGTATCTTTCAGCACCTTGCCGAGGGCGACAAAGGGCTGGACGTCGCCTCGTGAGCCGACAATCTGTATAACGACGTTGAGCTGCGGGGGAGGGGTCTGGCCCGGCTGGCCTCCGAGGCTCGGGGGGATGTAGGCGGGAGGCAGGGGCGCCTGGGGTCGCTTGTCGGCGAGGAGTTGGTTTCGTAGCGTCGGGGCGAGGATCTCGGCCAGGCGGTTGCCGCTCTGGTTGATGTTGATGTTGACTCGGCCATCGCCTAGTATCACTCGTCAGCGGGACCTCGCAATGTAGGTGTTGGTGGGAGAAGGTGAAAGTTACCTGTGACATTGGCGCCGGCTTCGAAGCCCGCCTGGTTGAACTGCAGCTGGTCGGGAAGGTCGCCATAGGCCGGTGGGGCCTCGGTCTCGGCCTCCAGCGAAGGCAAACTGAATCCATCAGACACGAGGGCGTCGGGAACTTCTTGGCTGTCCGTCCTGTCGAGGTTCAAATCGCTAGGCCGTCGTGGTGGCGGGGGAGGGGCAGACGAGCTCGCGCCCGCTTCTGGGTTCTTGACGACCGTCATTGCGGGGAAGGTCAACTTGTCGACTCGTCAAGCGAGGGATGCGAAGACCAGTGACGATGTCAAGGGGTACTAAGATTGTTTCCAATAGTTCAGGTCATCACGGTGAGGTGGATTGCAGGTAGAAGCGGCGATGTTCGTGACTGTTGTTGTTGTTGTTGTTGTTGTTGTTGTTGGAGAGTGTGGACGTTTGAGAGCTTTCGACCGAAAAGGGCGCCGTCTCAACAGCGCAACAAGCTTAATGACACAAAAGAGGGGCAAGCAGGAGTGGCAAGATGGGAAGATGTGGGTGTGTACAATTATATTGCTTGACAGGATTATTCCTGAGCCCGGACGTGGAAAATAGAGACTGGGTAGAAAGCAGGATCTAGACGTGCAGTGACAAACGAGGTGCTGGAGCGAAGGCGGGCAGCGTAAGTATTCAGCCCCGTTTCACCATCGGAGCCAAAAGCTGAGATGATCAAGCTCGTGAGAAAGACCCTGGAGCTTCAGTGGGTTCGAGGGACAGATTAGAGGTGGGGTGGGGTGGGTGCGGATAAGAGGTCACTAGCGACATCTCCGCCAGGATTCCCAGATACCTACGCAGGGCCTCCACCCACTGCCCTGCCCTGCCATAAGGTAATGGAGAAGAGGGAGGTAGCCAACAGCACCGCCCTACACAACCATCCGAAGAGTCGCATCAACAAGTTCAACGCCTCAGTTCAAGCGAACTGGACTGGGCGACTGGCACGGGGCGCTCCCGGCTTGAATTTGCATGGGACGGGGGGACAGAGCTATGACGTCCACCTCCCTCCCGCAACTTCATTCGTCCAATGGCTTGACGACGTGGGGGGGAGAGGAGGCGTTGAAGATCCTCCAAGAAAGATGGCATCGAGTGAGCCAATGACGGGATGTTTTGATGGGACGATTCAGAAGAGGGCCAGCTGGGCCTGGTTCTGGAACCCCGCACGGCCACAAGACTCAAGACCGAGAGAATATGAGTTTGGAGGAACAAGGGGGGCCCGTCTCTTTAACACACGCGTCTCAAACAAGGGAGAATATCTAGGTGAGGTTCTAGGTAATATTTACAAAGTCTGAACAGCAGGCCTAGGTCGACCGTTAGGCAGCGACTATAAGTCGTCTTCCGGTTCGCTGGTCCGTTGTAGTCGCGGTAGGACACTTTCAGGAGGACCAAATAAAGCTGGACCAGGGTCCAGGGTTGGGTCTAGGGGACGCGTGGAAGCGTGGAGCTTTGGCTGTAAGGTTATGACCCTATTACCCGTTCCTAGGGCAGCTCGGAGGTTGCTTCCGTCGAGGCAACAGCCATGTGAGACATCAAGGCTCAACGGTGTTGGGAACCTGCTTCAATGTCAAACCCATGGGAAAGGCTTGTCGAGAGTGTCATGTTCATCTCCCGCCTCAAGTTCCTTCAGGCCTGCGGTAGGCTTGGTTAATGAAGTTCTCTTGTGTTGGAGGGGACTATCGTCATTATCCAACTTGACGTGCCGATCATCACTGCATCGATCAGATCTTCTGCTTGCTCGTCGTTTGCCAGCTTCTGAATGTGTATCATTGTCTCCTAGTAAGGCTCTGTATCCATCTTGTTGGGTACGGTAGCGTAGCCGGCTTGTCGTCGGTGTCAGTTGACCTCATGAACTCAACTTCTTCACAAAAGGTGGATTCCGGGCAGATTCTGAATGGCGACGACGCGAGTTGAAATGGTTAGTGGAAACGCCAGGCAGTCAATGTCGACTGGGTTGATTCTTGACACAAGCTCCTGACTCAGCTGAGATTTGAGTCGACCAGCGACGACAACTCGAGTAACCTCCTTCGTACTTCGCCAGTCTATTCAAGTATACCCAGGTGAATACAATGAGAGTACGTGATGAAGGCAACGGAAAGCCTAGCAAAGGCCTAGCCACCGGGAACAAAAGCAGCAACAGCGCAGATTTCCAGTACAAACCCCACCCCTCCCTGGACTTAGCAGGTGGCTATCGTCCCTCTTGTTGACGAAGGTGCGGGCTTCTCGGCGCTTCAAAATGTCTTAATATCCCGCCAGCAAGCACGAAAGCAGACAAGAGAAGACAGGCGACAAGTTAAAGATAGCAAAAAACAACTTCTGCAGCTAAACTGCGAAAAGCTTGGTTTTCTCTCCTTCCAGAATCGAACTAGAGACCTTTCGATGACAACGTAACCATTACAGTCGAACGTGATAAACCAACTACACCAAGGAGAGGAGAAGACAGCTAAGCTGCTCTCGGTGGATCGTTGTAATTTCCGCTAATTTTTGGATATAAGTATCTATTGTAGAAAATCCTGTTGTGTGTGTGTGGAACTGTGGATGAACATGAAAGCCATAGTGGCCAACCGACAACGAGAATATGGGGAGATGCCAAGGTACGTGCTCCGTGCTCCGTAATAAGATAAGGGTTGGTGGGGATGGACATTTCCTCCAATTGGAACTTACCGTGGGCACGCGCGCGGAACGTCTCTGGTCACCCAAAAGGGTTCGGATATCTACTGCTAGGTGTTACTGGCTTCCACTCACGTGTCCTATGCAGCTCTACTACTTTTTGAGCAGCAACTGGATTCAACTAAGCTCAATTCCTGCTAACTCAGGACGGTAGCAAGAAAACTTTGTTCCTCTCCTTTGTGTTATGTTCCTCCTAGGCACTGTGGGTTTGGAAAGACTCTTGACTATCCTCAAGGGTGACCCGTCTATCCGTACTCCACGGCACAATTCAGTTGCCTCCACCTCTCCTCCAGTCGCCATTGTGGGACGGTGGATCGGCCTTCTCACACCTGCCCATAGAGCTCAGGGTCGCCGCCAGGGTGAGATGGGCAGTCTGGGCAAAGTCGTAATCGAACTTGCTGGAACTTCGAGGTCTATACCCTTCTTAACAAGCTCGAAGACCACAGTTCTAGAGGCAAACGTCGCCTTCTGTCAGAAACAGCATAATGTTGGGTTCCAGAAGTCATGTTGGACCATCTAGACTAGAAGCGTAATAAAGTAAAAAGAGGTATAATACAGCGGCGCGCATCAGTCATGCTCTCTGCCTCCTTGACCAAGTTGCCTCCCCTCTCGGGCACAAGCAGGCAACTCCACTGTCCATTATCGTCAAAAGGTTGCTTTTGTGTTGTTTTTGATGTCAGATGCCACTCCTCGCATATCCCAAAAGGAGTCTGTGTCTATGCAGGCACAGTTCTTGCTTTCTTTCCCACTGCCATGGCGTCCCTTTGGTGTGGGTTACGGTAGCATCATTCTGGCGTTTGCGGTTCCTCACAAAGCCTTGTGAGCTCCGTCCAAGGCTATCTTTTGCATCTCCCCCGTGTGTCTTCCCAAGTCGCTTAAGAGGAGAACTTGCGGGTGAGCTTGGCAATGACTGTTGCGCAGTTCGGTTAGCTGAGTGCTCATCTCAAGGAGCAATGTGTCCATAGTTCAAACTTACTGTGAAGGGCAACAACGCTGAAAATGAAAACAAGGGAAAGAACGAGGACGACAACGGGGTCGACCTTGAGGCCGGGAGACTCGTCGGTGTAGAGTCCTAAACCATCCACACGTTAGCATCCAATTCCCAATGATGAAACTACGAAGCTTCTTCGCCTCAAATCCTCCCCGATTTCAACCAATTCACCATATCCGCCACACCATCTCTAAAGGTTGAAGGACACGTCAGGGGTAAGAACGTACTCAGCATGGTGCTGCTGCTACCGCCAGCACCGGCAGCTCTCGTGCTGTTCGGCCGCGCATTCGCAATCTTCTCCTTCTGGTCGGCAGCCGCGCGGCGACGGATGGCGGTTCTGGGGCCGCCAGGGGGGGTAGGCGAAGACGGACGCGCGACGCTGGCGCCAGAGGCGGCGGCGCCGGCTCCGTTAACGGGCGAGGAAGGGCGAGGGGAAGACTGCGATGCCACAAATTCAATGTCAGCGATTTGTTCCCGTCAATCTGTAGGTATCGCGGCTGTGGCGCGCGCGCATTGACTGATCACAATGAGGCGCATACTCCAAGTACACATCTCGTCCTCAATGCTCCAGCAAGTCGCGTACGACATGGTAGAGTAAGGCCACGACGTGCAATTCGGCAAGGGGAGCTCGGAGTGACCAACAGCGGCCAAAGGAAATTAACTAACCATTGTGAAGGAGTGTGACGAGGGACAAGATCCAAGATCGCTGCAGGATACTCGGAAACCAGGGAAATTCGTTTGAAAAAGTCGACGCGGGAGAGAAGAATCGAAGTTCGGAAGGGTGGTGTGGGATGTGGATGGTCGGTCGGGAGGGCGTGATGATGGGAACTCGAGCTCTCTAGAGGTTCGGGGGTGCACCTGCGCTCAAAAGTGGCAGAGTTGAGGCCACAGTTTTGGAAAGGGGACCAGCTACCGCCCAGGGGATTTTCCGACCCGACGTTCCAGACCTCCCTGGGGCGGCGAACATACCTTAATGGGTGGCTGCTCAGCATAGCGGGCTAGCGGCTCCCAAAAACTCCACTGACCCCCTAATCCTGGCACGACCAGTCAAGTTCACCACCGGAGGGCATGGCATACATGGTCATCCTGTCATTGCAAGATGCAGATGCATCAATTCGTCGCAGCACATGCTTTATTTTCCCTTCTCTCCGCCATTCAGGAAACGCACTTGTGCACTGATGACCTTGTTAATGCTTTCAATGGAATTTCGAGGGTACTGTATATCTAGGAAGCAGCCGCGCTCTGCAGCTAAAAGCTTCCATGTGACGGCGCCAGCTTATGCAGCACATGGTGAAATACAACACAACGCAACGCTTTCCTGCAATAGCTCTCTCCTTCTCGACAATTGCCGGCTATAATGGCAGGAAGATGAAATGTCTGCTTGCAGACTCCCGGAGAAATGTGGTAGTAGGGGGTAGTGTTAGTGGTGGTGGTGGTGGTGGAGTGTACGATTTAGACATAGAAAATGAACAAAGGGAAAAACAATATCCTGCCACGTAGAGGGCATCATCCCCTTCAGATTCCAACACGAGGACCCATGGTATCCCTAGCCGCCTTTTTTGTTCTTCATGATGACTGATCTTCGACAGACAGGTATCTTTCGTTGGGTTCCTCGACCGCATTATTCGAACAATGCCGACGAAGAAGCACCAGGTGACAGAAAAGCCCCAGCTGCCCCAGTTTGGCCATCCCAAGCACCAAAGTGCCCTGACTTTTTTTTTCCCTTTCCGATCCCGAGGTTCTTCGATGGAAATTGTCATCCTCGCGGTCCTTTGAAATGCGGCCATCGAGCTTTTGCTGCATGAAAGCCGCCGTGAGCTGGCTCAGTGGTCTGGTACCTCCACCATGCTCATTATAAGGTAAGATTAGACAGTGATACATCTACACCTGCTGGAAACGAACCATCTCAACCCAAACGCCTGCCGCTATGATGGGACACGCGGTCCTGCAAATTTCTTCGGAGGTGATGAACGAAGAAAAGAAATTGGTATCTTTAGCTTCAAAGTGTAACGTCGAGAACCAGGCTGACGTCCTGGACATCCGACTTTGCGAGGTCTTCTAGAACGGGAATCAAGTCCAGCAGCTCATTATCGTGCGCGTCTGAAAACCAACTGCTGATGGGAACGGCATGCTGGGGATGGAAAATGTACGACGTGGGAGAGTTGTCGATGATGATGGTGTCCTTCAAGTCTCTTCCCACCTGGGAAAGATCCTTGACGTAGTTTCCTTGGTGGTTGTAGCAGCTCTCGCGGAAAAGCCTGTGGTGAACGACCTTGTGGATATCGAGCTGGTCTAGCAGCGGGTCGCCATACTTTGGATGAATTAGCACACGAAGTCAAGTGGCAGGGTCGGGAGGTCGATCTTACCTTTGAGACTGACGCAGTAAAGACCACCACTTCATAAAGCTCGCCAACACGCTTCATGAACTGATCTACTCCTGGTCTTTTGATAACATAGACATTATGATAATTGCCCTCGATTTCAACGGGGATAGTGAAGTCGGCTTGGTGGAGAATCTACAGATTTGTGAGCAACGGTGTGGGATAGGGCCGGGCGCCAGCTTCTAGGCATACCTTGAATGAACTGTGGACCAAGGTCTCGTCCAGATCAAGCACGAGACATTTCTTGCCCTTGAACTCGGGCGCAATGGGAGGCAGCAAGAACTTTTGCTCCGGAACGGCCTCAGCAGACTCGACGGGAACTGATACCGGCAGAGGCGGAGGCGGCGGCAGCTGGCTAGTAGGCGCATCTTCTACTGGGGGAGGTATTTGGTGCTTCTCTTCGGGTTCGGGCGTCGCATCGGGCATTGCCTCGTCTCCCTCCGCATCCTTCCTGTCTGCTTCCAGCACTGGCGCCTCCTTGGTCTTTTCACCGGTGGTCGACTCTACCGTGATCGCGGGCGCGGCGCTGCTAGCTCCAGCATTGCTGATGACGTTTTGCTTGGATTCGCCGGCTTCTCCGCCAACAGTAGAATCGTCGGCAGTGGTTGCGCCGGACACACGCTTGCCTTTGGCCTCGGTTGCCGTCATTGGCTGCTCGGGCTGGGGCTGCTTCTCCTGGATTTGCGGCTTGTTCGAAGGGACTTGTTGATCCTGCGGGGTGGGCTGTCGGGACTTGGCGGTAGTCGGTCTCGCGGGCAGCTTGTCGAGCTTATGGACGGCGTCGTCGCCGTTCTCAATCGCGTTGGCGTTGTCGGGGACACCGCAGCACCCAAGCAGGGCGAAAAGACCGCCTTTCTTCTTCTTCTGAGGGGGGTTCACGGGAGAATTCGGTTGCGTGTTGCCGGGGGTGTTGGTAGGTTCGGTTTCGATGCCGGATCGGTGGCTGCCGACGCTGCCATTTCGATGGCGTCCTAGAAAGCTACCCTTGGACTCTTTCGAGCGTCCGCCGATGCTGTTTCTCGAATCGCTGACTGTTGCTCCGCTCAGCCCTGTCGACGTGGGAGAGGATTGATTGCGCTGCGAGGAAGACCGAGACGGTACATGCAGGAAGCCCCTACCCTTCTTTGAATTTCCACCCTCCTCTGGCGCCAGAAGCACCTTTTCCTTGGACATTTCTTGACTTGACTGGCCGTTTTGCTGGATCTGTGGTGTGATTTCGTCTGGGTTGGATGGTTGTGGTCTCTCGGACATGATGCTGTCCAACTAGAGCAGGAGGTGGTTAGTCAAGACCATCAAAGCAAGATCAACAGTTTACATGAATCAAGCGACGATGCCCAGGAGGGGCTGGCGAGCACCAGTGGGCACATCTAGATCAACCATGACACTACCGCCTCTGCCTCTCATTCCAAGGTCCAAGACATGACCGAGGTCGTTTTTGTCGACTTGTGGGCGCCCGAGATGAAGCAAGCAGTGCGCGTGAAAGTGGGCTAGGACCAAAAGACGAACGAGCATGCCTCCTCCCTCGGTGAGGCGGTGTGTCGCGCGAGCATGGCATTGATGGCAGACAGGGTGCGTCGTGGACTCGGGCAGAGTTGAAAATGAAGTGTCGTCACTCACCTCCTTTCTTCTTGGGGTCCGGCAAGCCTTCCCAAAATCCTCAACCCCTTAACTGAGCTATTGTCGGCCGTAAAAGGCCGATTCGCAAAGCTCGTCGCGCGGTCCGAGGTAAAAGAGAATTGTCGGAAAGTAAAAGATCGACGCGGGTGGGCGATGGATGGAATGGAAGAGGAGGAAAGGCGACGTCCCGGTGAGGTTGTCGGTCGAACGCGGAGAATGGAAGATGGTTTGGGCTCAGTCGCGCAAGAAGCGGCGCCAATGGAATGACTAGGTGGGCGAGGCAAAGTGGCTGGGCCTTGGGGGGGGGGGGGCAATGGTTTACGGCGGCGGCCAGTGTCAGTTGGAGTCGGTCCCAAGGCAAGGTCGTAATGGTTGGCGGTGGTGGTGCTCGAATCAGATGAGAAGAAAAGTGGGCGAGAAGAAAGCGAGCGAGCGGTTGCAGGGTACAGCAAGGTACGTCGCGGAAGAAATTAAGGTTCGCTGGTAACAAGTGAATGGGTTGGCCTTTTTGGAAAGGAAAAAAAGAGATAGGTATCGAATATCACTCGAATGGGGGGTTTTTTTTTGGGGGGGACGAGGCCGGCCGAAGAGGTCGGGAACGATGAATTTGGCGAGTTTGATGATGCGTGAAAGAGGACGAGGGACGAAGAATGGAGCAACGGCAAGGCGTGCAAGGAGATTGGAAAATCGGGGGGAGGGGGGGTTAGTGAAAGAGAGGATGAGAGAGACGGGAGAGTGAGAGCCCAGGAGAGCAAGCGAGAGGAAGAACGAGAGCAAGAGCAGCAGAGCCAAAAAAGCAAAGCTAACAACCCAAATGGCCAGTAGAAAGACAAGGCGTCGGCGGCGAGAGGAAGAGGAAGAGAGCAGATGGCAGCCCAGGGCCCGGGGGTGAGAATTGAGGAAGACGGGCAAGAGGACGTATCAGAGGCTGAAAGAGCGTGAAAGGCACAAGCGAAATGATTTGCCTTTGAAAGCAACACTTGGATGGGGTTTGCTGGGGGCCAGGGGCTGGCCCGTGTCTACAGGTGCAGATGAAGCTGGGGGGCTGCAGCTTCAAGGGAAATGGAGACTGAGCAGAGTGAGAGAGAGAGAGAGAGAGAGAGAGGATGGATCATGGAAGAGAGGAGACTGGGGGTGCTACGAGCAGCAGCGAGCTAGTACGAAGTACAATTGGATTACACCAGAAAACGCCCACCGAGAGAGAGAGAGAGCAAGAGACCTGGAAGGGTGTGGGTGGGTTTCCCGGTGAGATTAGCCCGTCCCGTCCTGGTTAAGCAGAGGCCGGGCCTGAGAAATGGGGCGCGATAGGGGCTCTAAGAAATCACAGTTAACAAGATGTCTTCATACTGTTGAAGACAGTTGAAGCTTGTGCAGCGGATAATACAACTAATGTAACTTGAGCCAGCTTGACATGGATGATAATGGCAGGAAGTGAGTCCGAGTGACGTCTTCTTGCCGTGCCTGCGTCGAGATTGAGAGTGGGGCCTCGGCCTGCACTGACCATGTGAATGGATCCGCACTGTGCCCTACACCAGACGACTATCACGCCGCATCAGACGCCATGTCTCATCTCCCATTTCTCTCCCATTGCCGTGCCGCCAAGCTCATATTACAGAAATCTCCATGGTGGGAACACAAGCAGAGTCCATCCCGGCCCATCACACGCTTCGCAAGGAGCTAGAGCCTGAATTGGTCCAATTCGTAAAGTGAGATGGGCGACCGCGATACCCTCTTGGACCTAGACCGATGGGTCTGCTATTCGCTTTGGGAAGCTATTCAGCCAATGCACCAGCACAAGACATCTCTCCGACTCTCTCATCTTGAGTCTGACCTTGGGAGATACGGTATACTTACATCGTGGATTCCGGGGTCTCGAGTCGACCAGGAGCTTCGAAGCTGCTGGCACTGGCGCGGTAACCGTTCCTGGCAACCCCCCCCAAGGGCCGTGAAAGAAGCTGCGTCTGTCCCAGAGATTACCTCGTGTCCTTGGCTCTTTGTTGAGCCCATCACTCGGCATCCCAGTGCCGTCATTTCGTTTTCTCACAGTCTAACTAACTCTTTCCTCAAGAGCAGGCACCAAAAAACAGATAGGACGGACAAGCAAAGATAGGACCCGTAAATTACGCCCCCAGGGCCCAGGAACGATTCCAACGACGACAGAAACATCAGAAAACCCACAACCCGGTCTGTGAGGTAAAGAGAAGAACAACATCCCTGACACACCTATCCGAACTGGCTCCATGATCCATCGCGCTCACAGAGAAAGACATTCTGAGGGGATTTTGTCTGACTGAGCCTGAGTCTCACTGGACCCAACCTGAGTCTGTTGCGTACGAAATACTTCCTCCGGAGTAATACCCACGAGTCTTGCCCCCTTCGTCGCATCAGATGCCTCTTGGCTTATTACATTACCACGCCTGACGCCTCAAGGTGCCGCCTGCCTGGCTTGAATTAGCTTCCAGAGTAAGCACCGCGCGCAAGTGCCAAGGGCAAAGTGGGTGCTGCCGCCGCCGTCGTCTCCTGCTTGGGGCCTTTGGGCCCTTGGGGGAGTAGTATGGTCTAACGCTGGACCAGTGCAGGGTAAACTCAGCCGGGCGGCCGTTCTCCTTTAATGCGTGCGCCGCCCGGGTCCCTCGTCAAATAAGACAATTGGAATAAAATACAAGAAAACAACAGTCTCGATCTCGTCCCGATGCGCGACACCACCATCCATCTGCCAGCCCCAGCATCCCCCTCCACCTTTTCCGATACGGGTAGCAGATGGAGAGCTCTTCTGAGATGAGTGGAAGGTAGTTTCCAGACTGCAGACTCCAGAGTCCAGCGACACTGGGACAGAGAGCTCGAGGCACTGCTGGGCGAATGCCAGCTGCCATTTGCTTAGTGCATGAGGATATTGGGCGGTTGGAGTTTGCCTCATCCATGTCGCCTTCCGTCTGATAATTCCCCGCGCATTTATTGTACTCAGAGTTGAGAATTTCATCTGAGTGAGGGTGAGTATCCGTATGAGAGTGAGAACACCTTCGGTGAGGTGGGCTCCCTCCCGAACCCTCACGCAACTGCACTACTTCTTACTCACTCGTCCTACCAAACTCCCCCAAAAGCCCGCCCCCCTCGCAAGCCTCGCGATGACGGTTGGACAATCACTTCACTTTGAAGCGCTCATCGAAAAGAACCCAGACATTCCAGAACCCCATCACCCCGAATCGATTCACAGCCGCAAAAGAACGTCCCCGACCAACCAGCATCCGTACATGCTTACGGGGGCAAAGATCCAGACATCCCAGACAAACTGCCCCCCTGGACCGCTCTATCCTCATTGGCCATGTTACCGCCCGATTGAGTGACGGATCTGGTTGGGCGGGCACACACTCTCCTCTCAGTTGCTCACTCACACTCCATTCACACACTCGCATACAACCAACCTTGGCCTCTCTGCCTTTCTCATGCATCTCCATCCCACAAGGTCGCCAAAAGTGAACAGAGTTGAGCAAGGAACAAATAAAAGAGAAGAGTCCCCCAAGTCACCCAACTTTTCCAAGGTTAGGTATGTAGGACGCAGGTTTGGGCCACTCACGCACCGCGCAGCAGGGGTGTTCTCATGCAAAGAGGGAAATACCGCCGCCAGGGGAAGGGCTTCCCGATTCCGCACCCGCTGCGACCTGGACTTTGACAAGAAATCCAACCGGGATGACCCCCCGAAAGGTTCCCAAAGCAACGTTTTCCCAACGTGGATGTCTTCGCGCCGGATTCTGTGTTACGGAGGAGAGGGTCCACCACCGCAAAAGTCGCAACCCGCAACAGCTCTTCACTCTAACAGTAAAATGAGAGATCTCTTCCAGAGATGTGTTTCCCGTATCTCATTCACCCCCCGTTCATCCGTTGAGCAGCTTGAGCCTTGAGCCTTGAGGTATCCTCACAGAGCCCTCACTTCAAACCCCCTAGTCTTCCTCTCCTCCCCTGCTGGCCAAAATGTCCAACTGTCGAGTGTCGACGAGTTCCAACTTCCCAGGCGTTGAATTTTCCTAAGAAAAAGAGTGTATCCGTAAAAAGAAACAAAACCACACACGGTGCGCCTGCATTAACCAGAAATGGTCTCGGTACGCATCTCCCGCCGCGCGTAAATATGGGATGACAGACTGCTTGACTCTTGAACAGTAAACTTGAGCTCTATGGAACAAAGCGTTAGAGGTTCCAGAACCCAAAAGGCATTGGCCGGACACCACTTCAGTCCTTCAGGGCACCACCATACCCTACATACTGTACGGTGTACCTACTCCAAGTCCAAGGCACGCAGGCAAGCCTCCCCGGAGCAAACATCCTGAACAAAAAAAAAAAAAAAAAAGAGGCTCGTGTGGCGGAGGCTCATGTGGGTGTGTTGCGCGCAATAACGCCGGCGGCATCGGGACGTGTGGGGCCCACCATGCCGTGCCGCCGGTGTACGAGTAAACTTCCCATTCAACCTAATGCAATGCTCCTTTTTGTGCGGGGATGAGCCCGTGAGCTCCCGTGTGTCTGCAGACTGCATCTTACCTTCTCATCAGGGTAGATACTACACTGGTGTCTATCATACTTGATTATTTCAATGAAACATGGCAACCAATATGACTGGTCGCGAGTGTGTCCCTTACTTCAGTCCCAAGTAGACTGCCTGCCCACGGGAGAGCAACTTGCTTTTTCCTTCAACGCCTCCCGCCTTTATGTGGTCATTGTGCAGAGGACAACCTGGACCGGGTTCCAAGTGACAAGTTGACAACCGTCTCGATGAGGCACGCAGGACAGGAACCGCAGAGTAAAATACCTATTGGTGTCGATGGTTTGACTAGCATGTCGGGATACACGCACTGCTGCTGGGTGGTTCATCTTTTCAGCAAGAAAGTTTAGTGTTTCTATGGCATGGCACCAACAGCTTATATGCGAGAATGGGTAGTTGTGGACTGGTGATCCGAACATCATCCTCAAATTCCCTGAGGATTTCGGAGCTGGCATTCTACCCCTCCATCGACTTGTCCCGCAAACCTGATGTTGGAAAGTCTAGTAGAAAGGTGTTTATCTCTTCTGTTCTTGTTCGCGCGGCCCTCTAGTTATTACCCCATCAAAACCTAAGCATACAATGATACCATGCCGTATCGAAACAAACCACCACTCTAACCTGTCAAAACCCAGCTTCATCTCCTCTCACCGTCTTCCAGCTTTTACAGCCACTCTGTATCCATGTTCATTCTTCTAAAGACCTCCCTCAGTGAACTGCATTCGCTACGGTGCTTCCTCTACGCTTCATTAAGCGTCGTTCATTCAAGATACAGCATTTGATGGCTCAGAGAAGTGTGCCCGCTGTCGCTCCTCCTATCTGGAGGGCGCTACCACCAGTCATTGTATTGGCGGGCTGTCGTATATGGATATCAAGCGGTCCAAAGTTCAGCACATCTCCGGGAAACGGACCCGAGGCATATTCGTATCTCAGCATATTTCTTGTGCGTGATGAATCAGGATCGACTCCATAAGGGCTAAGGAAATCAGTCGTGCTCGAAAGTTCGATGCAATTATTCATCAAACTTACCTTTGCCAATATTGACTCCCATCACGAGTCAACAACTGCCACTTGTCTGGGTTCCCTTCATCAGGGTCCCTTTCATCGCCATCCATAGCATCCCAGATTATCACTGCTGGCCTTGCCAGCTCGGTAATGATTTGCTTGACTGGAACGGCCGGTTTGATCGAAAGAACGAGTGTCTTGTCATCAACTTCGAGGAAACCTTTGTGGCCATCGACAACAATGATGCCCATGTCTCGTAAAATAGTTCTGCATTCTGGCGAATATTCTGGCTCCTGCGAGAAGCATTGTAAGTGGGGATTCTGCTGACGCAACATGAGCATCATGCTGACAGCGGCGGCATGTTGTGTGAAGGTTCTCGACCTAGTTGTTTTGTGTATCTGGCAATGGACACCATTTAGGCATAACCCACACGTCCGACAGATGTTTGGCAAGAGCGCGCCGAGACCGAAGCACAAAATCTTTGTTACTTGACAGTGTGGCGGTAGTTGGCCGATTATTTCCATAAGGACTGAGCGGGTTTGACTTTGCTGCCATAGTTTTTGATACATATCCCACAATCTTTTGATTGATGACAATGAGGCTCGAGATGAGGGTGCTGTGTGTCTGGGGAAACAGGCGACACGATAGGAGCTGAGGGCCCCGCAGGTGCGCATTCGGCCATCAGGAGGGACTCCGTTGATCATATTTTGGATGGTACGGAAGCCGATTCTTGGCTCGTAGCTGGCGATTACGCAGTTAGTTAGTCATGATGCTGCAGACGTGTTGTGGTTTGGCCTACTGCGTCTCAAAGGAAACCCAATCAGGTCTCGAAACAGACATGTTCCCGTCCACACCGACCAAGTTCATGATTGCATGTCTTCCACAGATCGCTGTATCAAGGGTGGCGATGACTGTTTTGTCGAAGAGTGGGACTCCAGTAGAGTAGAAACGCTGGATCGCCCGGACGACATCGGCTTGCGCCGTCTTCGACAAGACTTTGCCGGCACGGTCTTGCTCCTCGAAGCATGTACAACGCTCAGGGAATGGTCGGTTCTCCATGACGTTGCAGGAGCAGTGAACATGTACGGGCTGATTTGGTTATGTTGAGGTTTGTTAAAGTTCGTTCCGGCGGTTACTCTAACCAAGCCTGTACATAGAGATCGATGATAAAAGGGGGATGCTTTGTGATGGCGGACTGTTTTTGACCGGATGTCGTTGGTTGAAGTCATGGCAACAAGACGCGGTATTCTGCAAAACAAAACCCTTTAGACGTTGATTCAGGAAGCAAGGGCTGACTTTCGTTGTTAGACCCCTCAAGGTAGCTGTCTGTCTCTTGACTGCCCGTTTGAGAACCCAAGGCTGTATGCAAAGAAGGTGTGCCTGCGTCGTATGTGGCCTTCGCCATTCTCATCTCGGCGGCTGCATCTCAAGTTCCTACAAAACATTGCACACAGGTGCGACTGCTCAAGAGTTCAAGTTCATTGCTGTCGTGCCTGCCCGGCGATGAAGAGAGCAAGAGGCAGGGAGTGATGCTATTTAAGGCGTCCAGTAGACGGATCAAGAAAGGAAACAACACAGGCTTGCCTTCCCAGACCACGATCCTCTTCCCGGAAGGTCAATACGTTTTGTTTCAAGGTAACTTGGGAGATCATGACAGGTAGAGTTCGCTGTCCTCGCCAGTACTGTTAGTCCACAAACATTCTCAATAGCTCAATAAGAAGCATTCCCTTCGTGCGTGTGAGTTAAGACCATACAACAAAACTCCAGCTAGAATACAGCTTAGCACGGTTCAAGTCCATAGCATGGAAGAATGCTGGCCGTTGAATCTTGGGCTCTCTGACCACTGAATCAAGCAGCCAAGGTACCCAAGTGCCACCAAGGTACCATGGTACCTACCCCGGACCCCTCAAGTTCAAGCTCAAAAAGGTGCATCATGTGACTGGAAACTGGGATTTGACATCAGGCATGTCATTGGCTCAGTCCCTCCGGATCCTGTAGGGTTAGCGTCATTCCCGCCGGAACCAGCCACTCATAGGTCCAGGTGTCTCGGGCTCTCAGCGGCACGATCCCCATTCTCAGTGGAGACTCTTGAGAGCCCCGGCCCCCAGAGACGTGAACCTGTCCGCCCGCAGCTTTCCCCAAGTTATCCACCGCTTCGGGTACTGGGTGCCTCGGAACTCCACTGCCCGCCGGCATTCACATGTCGTAATGCGATCACGAGCCAGCGTCTGCTCCCCAAACTCGCCGCTTCTCCAACAACAAACGACTCAGCCTGCCAATGCGACCACGTGCTTGGTTTGAGCCTTTTCGAACTACCTCACCACCTTTATACACGCACAGTCAGAAGAGTCTATCAGCGATCCCGAGACACAACATCAATCGCGTCCTAAAGCCTAGTACCGCTCAGCTCGTTCCTCTCTATCATTCCCGCCCTGTGATGGCTGCGCATCTGCAGTAGCACCTTAACCGTGGCGAGCCTGCGCGACTCGACCTCACAACGACTTCGCAAGTCTTGAAAGGCAATTCCCACTTCCTATCACCATTGCGATGGCAGAACAATCGACACTTCGCCAGTCGGCCGCAGAGGAGGCTCTCGCCGCCTTCTTCGAGAAGCATACGACTCTGATCCGCAATCGCCTCCGAAATACCTCTCGCACAACCCGACTGCTCGGAACACTTGCCCTCGCTGCATCCATAGTCTTCAGCGCCGCTGGAGGCAGACGCTGGTGGAGGCAACGGCGCGAGGAGAAGGAACAAGGCAGCAAGCTTGTCCGCACGAATTCGTGGCTACACAACAAGGATGGCTCACGTACGATCTACGTCCCGTATAAGGATGGCACCTCCAAGGTTGTCATCCAGACTACGAAGCCGCTGACATTCGAGGCGCATCGCCGGCTCTTCCTCAACCCTCCGCGGGTATCTGGCCTCGGTGACGGCACCGTTCCCTCAGCACAGACGAAGCCGGGCTTGAACCTGGCATTCCTACATCAATTCCTCAGTCTCATGAGTATCATGATCCCGAGATGGTCGAGTAAAGAAGCCGGTCTGCTCCTAAGTCACAGCGTTTTCTTGATGCTTCGCACCTACCTATCCCTCGTTGTCGCTCGACTTGACGGTGAAATTGTGCGGGATCTGGTAGCCGGACAAGGGAAGCCATTCTTCTGGGGCTTAGTGAAGGTGAGTGGTGTTCCAAAACCCCCAGCTACCAACCCTCAGCCCTTGCTAATGAAATTCACAGTGGTGTGGTCTCGGTGGCTTTGCGTCATACACGAATGCGATGATCAAATTCCTCGAGTCCAAGGTGTCCATTGCCTTCAGAACCCGCCTTACACGATACATCCACGATCTATACCTGAACAACAACCTCAACTACTATAAGCTTTCCAACTTGGATGGAGGTGTCGGCCAGGGTGCGGACCAGTTCATCACACAAGATCTGACACTGTTCTGTGCTGCCGCTGCGAACCTCTACTCATCGCTTGGCAAACCGTTCGTAGATCTTTGCGTCTTCAACTACCAGCTATTCCGATCTCTGGGCCCATTGGCTCTGACGGGTCTGTTGAGCAACTATTTCCTGACAGCGAGCATCCTGCGCCGGCTGTCACCTCCCTTTGGCAAACTCAAGGCAGTTGAGGGTCGCAAGGAGGGAGACTTCAGGGGGCTGCATGCGCGACTAATCGCCAATGCCGAGGAGATCGCCTTTTACGGAGGTGCCGACATGGAGAAGACTTTCCTCAACAAGGAGTTCAAGTCTTTGAAAAACTGGATGGAGGGTATCTACATGCTCAAGATTCGGTACAACATGCTTGAGGATTTCATACTCAAGTACAGCTGGAGTGCGTACGGCTACCTTCTATCCTCATTACCAGTATTCCTTCCAGCATGGGGAGGTCTGGGCGGCGCTGCTGAGCTCGCCGAAAATGCTGCAAAGGGAAGCAGGGAGCGCGGGCGCATGAAGGAGTTCATTACGAACAAGCGTCTCATGCTTTCACTTGCGGATGCTGGCGGTAGGATGATGTACTCTATCAAGGACCTCTCCGAGCTTGCCGGGTACACCAGCCGAGTCTACACCCTGATATCGACGCTACATCGCGTCCACGCCGATGCGTATTTCTTGCGAGGGCAACAGAACGAACTCTACTCCCTTTCGGACGTTCAAGGAACAATCCAGAAGGGCTTCGACGGCGTACGATTCGAGAACGTGCCTGTTGTGGCTCCATCATTGTGGCCCAACGGTGGCGAGGAGCTGATGGACTCCCTCTCAATGGTTGTCAGGAGAGGAGAGCATCTTCTGGTGAGTTGTTAAACATCTATGGACGAAGAATGATTGTACTGACGTGCTCAGATCTCTGGCCCCAACGGTGTGGGTAAGACTTCTATTGCTCGTATCCTTGCAGGCCTTTGGCCAGTCTACAGAGGACTCGTCAGTCGACCGAAGGATATTGGTCAGGATGGCATCATGTTTTTGCCGCAACGACCCTACCTCAGTATCGGTACTTTACGCGACCAGGTCATCTACCCAGACGGGCATCACGACATGCGCGAGAAGAGGAAGTCCGAGGACGACTTGAGGCGCATCCTGGAGGATGCTCGTCTTGGCTACCTTCCCGATCGTGAAGGCGGTTGGGACACCCGCAAGGAATGGAAAGATGTTCTTAGCGGTGGAGAGAAACAGCGGATGGGTTTCGCCCGCGTGTTGTACCATGAGCCTCAATTCGCCATCCTTGACGAGGGTACTAGCGCCGTGTCTCAAGATGTTGAGGGTCTGCTCTACGAAGTGTGCAAGGAGAAAGGAATCAGTAAGTTGAAAAGCCATTCTACGTCCCACACATCTCCTGACATTTAACAGCTCTCATCACCATTTCCACACGCGCCTCGCTCAAGAAGTATCACACGTACAACCTCATTCTCGGAGGCGGAGAACGTGGCGATGAGTGGGAGTTTGAGAGAATCGGAACAGAGCATGAGAAGATGCAGGTCGAGAAGGAGCTCCAGGACCTTCGTGAACGCCTTGAACAGGTTGAGAATTGGAAGGCAAGACGCCAGGAAATCGAGGAAGAGCTTTCCAAGGTGTGGGTGGCTGGCGGGGACGAGTTAGATCCTCCTTCCTATGCCGAGAGTGAGAGTGACTCTTCCAAGGGAAAGGGCAAGGAGACGGCGTCGCTGTCTTCAACGCAGGAGATTTTGGGTGATGCTTGAAATGGAAAGTTTGGTCGGCACTGCCTTGTACGGATACGACTACAGGATATACAGAGTACCTGGACATGTGGGAGGGAAGGATGATTTGCGTCATTGTTGATCAAGAGTAAGAGCCATCATACCAGTAATCTGTTCATAGAAACTACGATATTAGTGGCTTTAGCATCGATCTGAGTTTTCTACAGATGCCCCTCATCCAACGGTGTTTCTCGTTACCGTGCAATCTGCACATCTGCACACGACGCTGATCGCCATTTCGGCTCCTGTCTTTTTGAGCCTCTTTATCAGCCCCCCACGGCATTCCTCACTTCCACACTTCAACCTAGATGGCTCGTTGTATTCGCCAGTTGGTCCCTTTCCCCGTTCAGTATTGAACGCCGACGAAAAAGTATCGCTGTCAGCACACCTACTACTCATTCAGACACAAGCTCCCGTGTCCGAATTTGAAGGCCCTTGGCGCAGTCAAACTCCTTCTCGTGCAACCCCGCGCTGACAGATCAAGGCCCTGCAAAATTTGGTTCTGGTCAGACGTGCTCTGGTGCTGTTTACCTATGTACTCAACCCCCGCTGGCATCTGGGCTAAGTTTTGGGGGCTTGACGCCGTCAAGTGGTTCCTGACAACTTGCTGCGAGTTTCCTTGTCTTCCATGGCTTGAAGTGGTTAGCGGTGTCTTAGTCTGGTGCCAACAACCAATGATGGCCCGACCAGACTGACGCTATCGTCGAGACTATTTGCTGGGCCGCCGCGAGCTGGACTTCTAAAGGATATTCTCGACGTCGACGACTCCTCTTCATCCCATTGTTCTCTGCAGCCGTTCCATCGACCGTGGATGTGTGTCTGCAGTTTCCCGACCACCCCGTTTTGCCCGCTACTTCCTAGCGTCGCAATGTCGATGAACATCGACATACCCGGGTAGCCACCGTCGCTGACATCCCGCCAAAGTCTGCCAGATCGAGAACCCCTGTTACATCGTGCCCGCGATCCTTGCTCGGAATGAAGCCGTTCCTGTTGCCGATCACAGAGCAGCACGTCGGACTGCGAACGCTTCCAGACTGGCGAGTGCCAGAACCCAGCTGAAATGCAAGCACATGGGATTGCCACGCATCGTGCGCCCTGATCCCATATGTTGTGTGCTCAGCCTTCGGATATGCCATGCGACGAGATAGGACCCCTCTCGGGGGAATCTAGACGAAGTCGTTCATTGTCCGGAGCCAAGAAGTGGCTTCAAACTGCGGCAAAAGGTGGGCTGTCGACTCTTGTTAAGTCAAGCTTCTCAAGGCACAAAATCTCAAACGCAGCATTCTTTGCTCTTGTTGCCCCCTCTCCCCACCCGTCCTTTGTCTGCCGGGACTCGGTTCATTGTCGTTGACCATCACCCCGTAAACCGTCCGACATTCTTTGTTCCTTGGACGTTAGCTGAATCGCCAGCCAGAGAAAAACAAACGAGGACTGCTGCCACGCGATATTCTCGATAGCCGACTTTTCCGGCATGCTGAAGTCTTATATGAAGCCGCATGTCTGAGATCATTGAACGGGTACCACGACTCTAGATCTCGACATCACTGCCTTGTGAACCCGGATCCTTGGTTTACTCAGCCGCATCCGTTTTCACCTTCTACAAGTCCGATTCCTTGAAATTTGGTAGTTTCGAGTCCGTGTAATCCCATTCTTTCCTAGTATCACGACTCATATCATTCTCTACGCCCGCTTTACACACTTGAAATTTGACGCCATCTGCAATCGACAACGCCAAGGCAGTAAACACCAAGAGTGACGACATTATAACAATTTCGTTATTGTACACCCATTTCAGCGACTTGAAAGTAATCTTACGCCGATTTTCAGTCTTGTATAACAGCAGTCGGGCTGTTGCACATAAGAACCATCTACACTATCGCTGTGTAATTTAGACTCGACGACAAGATGCCCAAGTCACCCTTCTCTCCGGGCTCAAGCCGTACATTCTCATCCGTTGGTCGCATGCCCGTCATCGCGGAGGACGACTCACTCCCCGCCATTACGCACCCAAAAGCTGCTGCCCTCCCTCCACCACCGCCATGCCGTAGCACGAAACCGAAATACTACGGCCGCTCGCCAGTACCACGAGCTATCAACCCGCACCCGTCCTACCCTCCTCCGGCCTACTCTCGCAGCTCGTCTCGCGACAGCACCCTCAGCACTCTGAGCACACGCAGCCTACTCAGCGGAGGCAGCTTTGGCAGCCGTCCGAGCTCGGGCACATCAACCCCCAGGCTTTCTCCCAGGAATTCTCTCAAGGACAAGTCTCAGCTCCTCCCCATCATTACGCCCGTAGGGCCATCATCGGCTGCAGAGAAGAACAAGAAGGGGCCCTGGATCGCCCGCCGCGGCAACAGATACCGCATGATAGTTGTCCTTATCCTTGGAATTAGCCTGATTGTTGGTCTGTCAGTTGGCCTGACTGTTGGAAAGCGTAGTCCGTATGTCACATCCTTCCATTCTTAATCCACTTACACCACCACTAACACTTTGCAAGACCTCCTTCAACATCGCCAGCTCCCACGAACTCGACAAACCTATACCCCTCCGGCTCTTTCGCCTTCAACACGGCTCTGTTGGAATCCAACACCGGATGTACCGCCAACCCATCGACATGGCGCTGCTTCCCTTACCAAAACTACTCGCAATCCGCGAACGACTCTCTCGCATCCTTTTTCTGGACAATTTCCCCAAAGAACTCGTACACCTACCAGATATCATCCTCCTCCAACCCCTTTGCTCCGCAGTTCACAAACCAGACAATGGTGCTGCTCGAAGGAAACACACTAAACGAGCGCCTCGTCTTCAACTTTTCCCTTCCCAAGACCGTGGTCCCGTCCGAGGCCATCACCGAAGACGGACGCGCTGCAACCTGCACATTCTCCGATACCGCATTCCGCGCGACCCTCTGGACGAGACGCAACACGACCACGCCGCTCGGCACTGTTGCGTCTGGAACGAACGCGAATAGCACTGATGGAAACGTCAAGTGGGGAGCATGGACCGGTCAAGTCGAGATCGTGCAAATCAAGAAGGGGGGCCCGGATTGTCAGGACAAAGCTGGTAATGCCGTCACCGTCGCGGCGGGAAGAGAGCAGTGTAAGTGCCGGTACGCCAATTACGACTTCAGCTCGCAGAAAAAGACGAAGAGGGATTGGCAGGCATAAGAAAAGTTCGGGGGTCTTTGCTTCAGGCGTTTTTGGGTTGGCGTTGGGTTTTGGAAACGATGAAATGTACATACCATTTGGAGTTTTGGATGACAAAGGCATTACTACTAGACTTTTGAAAAGATACCCTACATTGGAAGATATATCTCTTTTGTGTCACAGCTTCTTTCATAATCTCGCGATACAAAGACCGCGTCTACTTCCATCTACCTCATGGCTTCCGGGTAAAAGCCTAAGGTTTAAACAGAGTTCATAACTATGATAGGCCCAGATAAGTTGCCAAAAAAGCCTAATGCGGGGGACGAACTCCGATATATGGCCTTGCAATCCAGTCGAGCGAGTCCTTTGGCGAATAGCTAGGTGATGATCTATAGTATAAATTGTGCCCCTGAACGCGATAGACCTTAAGATTTTGCCGAAGACTGATGCGGAGGACGAACTCTGGTGCATTGTTCTGGTAGCTGTTTGCTGTACCCGTTCATCATAGTTTCCCAACAAGACCAGGCATGAGAACAGTCCGTGTATGTATGTTAACCAAACTTTTCAACGTTCACATAGGTTCCTTTCACCGTTTATAAGCTCTGCTCGTTCATTCGCCCGTCATACGTCACGAACCAAGCGGGGTAACGGACTGATTTGTTTAATATGCCTTCTTGATAAAGAGTGCAGAAGATAGTTGATCACATTGGCCTGAAAAAAAGGTTCCGTCAGCGTCTTAGATTTTGCTAGTACCGCTAGGAGTAGTCTCGTACAGAACCTCTGCTCGTGAGCCATTTCGTCCACTATGAATGCGTTAGGGACTAAGCGAGCTGACGGACCGATTCATTCATGCCTTTCATAAAAAGAGTGTAGAAGACAGTTGATCATATTGGCTCGAACAAAGCTTCCGGAAATCAGCAGCTTAGAGTCTACTAACGCTATCAAGGGTGGTTCTATCGAGGACTTCTGCTCGTCGTTCATTTGGCACATCACGAATACGTCACGGACCAAGCGAGGTGACGGACCAACGTGTTCATACCTTGTAGACAAAGTGTGAAGAAGACAGTTGAATGGGTGTCTTGAACAAAGCTTTCCATCAGCACCTTGATTTCCATGAGCAGGTGTGATCTCGTTGAGGACCATCGAATGGCTCGCTTCCACTGCCAAGCGGCCCCTGCAGTGTCGATACATCGGAACTCAAGTTGTCCGACGGCTCTTTTTAAATACTACGTATGTTGAGGTTGGCTCTGACTTATTCTTCTGAGTGCCCAGACGAAGGAAATGACCGCCGAGTATAAGAGTGGTAGTGAAGTCGTCCCTTATTGTGGGCGCAAAGTAGCTTGGCTGTGTGCGTCCGGGAGCAATACACGTCATAGGAGATTGAAGCGATCCGTTGACTAGGTCGGCCACCTTCTTCTAATGTTGTCCTCTATTATTATGTTTCATATGTTCATACCTCTATATACTATTCACTTTCCCGAACGCTATATCCGTCGACGAATACGTTAACGACAGAGAGTTAATAAGAGAGGCGGATTGCTTAAAGGTGAGCAAGCATTCCTTGCCAGGGCGCCTTGTCCCCCACCAGATCAACAAAGACATGAGAAGTCCGCATGGGCGAACAGCCGGGTGGTGACTTACGGGAGCTCAATCACCTTCTCTGGAATAATGCAGAGCAATTTGTCCTCTCACCTCTTGCTGTAGATCGGCGCAAGCAGTCATACCTTAGTAAAAGGGCAGGTTGTGCATGGGTTTAGGGCGATGGCGATGGCTCAGGTTATAAGCCACCCAAAGAGGTTAATTGTCAGCTATTGCCGAGGATGCATCAGATGGAATCGAAATGCGACAGTGTTCTTTTTTTAACGAACATGGCATAACTCTTGTCTATCGTCTTATCTCTTATCTATGCGGAATTGTCCAACACCAGACGCCGGCTCGAAGCAAAACCAAAGCAAATCTGAATCTAGTAACATACAAGCCAACAACTCACCTTGTCAAGAAACACCTAAAGACCCTTGTTTCATTACCGACTCCTCATTTGAGGATACATGACCGTGGGCCAAGACGGGGCCAGCCGTCACTGTCTTCATCCACACCATACGCCATTCGCCACTCTGGATCCGTTACAATTCTTCAGGGAAGGCAAGGCTATGACAAACCAGATGACTATAACTTACAAACTCACTGCTGCTTCTTTGCATTAATCCTGGTCCATGGCATCAGGGTCATTGATAAACTCATTAAAGAGATTCGTGCCATTATAGACATCCCCAATGTTGTGTTCCTGAGCATCCTGGAGAAGATGCTGCACCCGCATTTGAGGGTGCTGGGAAGGGCCAGCCTCCGCAGAGATATGAACCTGTTGCTGCTGCTGCTGCTGCCGGCGAGAAGAAGCGCTCAGTTGCCCGACTTGAGCATACGGGGCAGGATCGACAGTATGCTGGTGAACAGAGTTGAAACGCCAGGCTCCACCAAACGGGTTAGGGTCGACAGTATGCTGGTGAACAGAATTGAACCGCCAGGCTTCACCATACGGGTTATAATCAGCAGCTGGCACAACCGGAGGCTCCATAGCGTCAGGCGGAGGAGGCTGGATATTCGGCACTGGCTGGTGAAGAAAGGGCTGACCTGGCGGGACGTACGCGTTCCACGGAATCGGTCCCGCGCCCCGAATCGCCTGCGCTTGACGATATGCTGCTAGGCCTGCTTCTGGATCTGGGTTTTGGTTCTGTGCTACGGGATTTGGCGGGGCAAAGTTGAAGATGTAGTTGTTATTGGGCGGCATGACTTCCTCAAAGACTCTCGCGTCAAGGCCGGCAGGCGGGTTGTTAGCTGCAGGTCGGTTGTACTGGCTTTCGAGGCCGACAAAGACAGGCGCGGCAGCCTGAGACTCCTCCTTTACAACGGGCATTGGGATTAGGGGCGGGAAGCCTGGGGCGACGGGGCCGATCCTGACTGCTGGCCTGGGCTGGTTGTTTCCCTGCATCAACTGAGGCTGGACCGGGGGCTGGAACGCGTTGAAGAGCAACGGTTCGGCTTGCACCCTCTGGACGTTCTGTGCAACGGCCTCGCCGTTGACGTTGCCAACCCTACGCCGGGCTGCGCCCCTTGCGGCATCGCCTTCCTGGTCGTCTCCGTCGTCCTCGCGTTCGCGCTTGACTGGAGGGGGTTCATCACCGGGGACGCGAGGGGTTGTGAAGAAATCCCGGGACCACGCACTCAGAACCTCGTCCGATTCCAAGTCGTTCCTGGCGAGACGATGGTTGATCACGGCAACCAGCTCTTGCAGAGTTGGGCGATCAGAGGGGCAATGGGCCAGGCATCTCTGTACCAAACCTGTGAGCTCGGGATCAACGTCGCGGAATCGCGTATTCTGCAGGGCGCCTCCATAGGTGACGATCTTTCGTCCCCAAGCGTCCCTGTAGGGTAAACCAAAAGCACGGTCTGAGAATGAGGAGAGAGTGATGGCGCACCAAATCTGTCAAGCTTGTTAGTCTCGGATAGCGTGGTAAAGTGGAGCTCATGGTGATCAACTTACAATGGCGCCCACCTGGTAGATGTTCGTATGCATTCCGTAGTTGCCAGCAACTGGCGGCTTCGTTCCATCTGTGGCCACGAAGTGGTTGACACCGTCGTCGTTGATGAGGTCATTATCCATGAACTCCCAATCGCCAGCAAATTGTTCCTATACATTGCATATTAGTAAACGCGATCGGCAAATACACGTAATGTGAGGGTTAACTTACGGGCGTGTAGTAAACGGGCTTTCCTCTGAGACGACAATGCCAGAAGTACTCTTTGCTATTGGTAGAAAGAAGAGATGTCAGTTACGTCAAACTCACAGTAGTTTTTTGGGCGTTGACTTACTTGAAGTATGCGGGGTTACCCTCTTGCTCGCTGAAGAACTCGGTTAGTCCGAAGTCGGCAATCTGAAAACTGTCAGTATATCTTTTCAAGAGGGGGTGAGAGGTTATAAATACCTTGAAGGTAGGCAGATTGCCAAAAAGCATGCTTCTGTTCGCCAAAAGAACTGCGAAAGTTAGCTCCCTGTAACCAAGAGATAGATGCGCCCAAGGACTTACCGTTTCTGGGGTCAAGATCGAAGTGCACTGTTTCTTGGAGTTTGAAATTCGGATCATCGGGGAACACCTCGTCAATGGGACTCTGGTACTTCCAATCTGGATGCGAAGGTTCGTAATGTTCCCTCAGAGGATAACCCATACCAACTAGACCAAGGATGACTATTAAGACAGAGTTAGTAACACAATCTAAAGATAATGAGGCAGAGCGGTTCAAAAACTTACGACTTTGGAAGAGCATCCAGATGGCTCTCTCAGGCCAACGCCGCCCAAGACGGCTAGACTTGCTGAGCCACAAGCCTAGGTCACCAAGATTGGCATTCTCGAGAATGACAAAGTTGCGAATGGGTTGGGTTTGGAAGTTCTTGAGGGTCCAATTCTTGTCTTGGACCTCTGGGTGGGGAAGTCTGGCCCCGGCTGGATGGCTATTCTGGAATTCAGTCAGGTCAGCAGCCCTTTGTGCTTTGATTTCTTCAGTGATATCCGATATCTGCAGGATATGTTTTGCTCCTACGAATTTCTGCAACACGTTAGAAAGATAACCGTAAACATAGGTCAGGGCGGGGAAGTACTTACCCAGAGAGCCCTCTCCTCCCGTGCCAGCGCCGAATTGGCATGGTGACGAGACTTTTCAACCTTAATCACGCAGTCAGTGTTGAATCCGTTGGCGGGGCTCTTGTGTGAGATGTGAGCTGCTATCCCGTAGCCCCCTGCTCCCAAGATACTCTTCAGACGGATGTTGTAGCCCTTGGGGTTCCTTTGGCCCCCGTACTTTGCTTGTGCCTCATCTAGATGTCTTGAGTCGAAGTAGCGGGGAGCGTACTTGATCGTTGGTTCTTGGATTCTTGGGTCAGCAAGCGGCTGGGGTGGAGTGCCGTAACGCCAAGGATGGCAGTTGCCGTTCTGGTCGTATTGTAGATAACCCTGAGCCCTCTCGTGACCCATTTTTGCTGCGATCCTGTTCGCCAGCCTTATTCTATGTTCCCTCGCTGCCCGCTGCGCGGCCTGGCCAAGGCGAGGGCCATTATTGTTCCCGACTGCCTGAGCCTGATAAATAGGGCTCTGTGCCATGCTGATGATTCTTGATTGGATATAGTCCCGCGATGGTACTTGCCTCGTTTGCCTCGATGTGGTGAAATTGAAAGTGTAAGTGATGATGCTGATGTGTTTGATGAATATGTCTCTATTTCTCGTGATCAAATGCCAGTGGCAGTCGATTGCATATATACGTGTTTTCCCCTCAAAAGTTTCTTCATCATTCGTTCAATAAAGGAATGATGTAAAGGCAAGACAAGAAGCTAATCCCTGTGGTTGTCTTCGAGAACAATGTGTATCGCATACTTACGAGAGCATGACTTTGGGAGCGCCGTCTTCCAGAGCAGTCAATACATCAACGTGCCCTGCCACTTGAAATCAAAGTATTTGAAAACCTTGGCTCATTGTGTCTTTGCTGGCGTACAAGTGTTTCATTAGCAGCGTGAACAATCCCGCTTTACCGGTCTTCCCAAGGCAGAGAACAATTTGGACGCAGGCACTCGATCGAGGCCACGAGACAAAGGTCATTGTAAAGCCTCTGGACTATTTTCGTCACGAATTCGACAAAGGTTTGGGAGAACACAGTTGAAGTTGAAAGCAGGAGAGCTTCAGGTCTTCCATTCGGTCACTTCGGGCGCAAAGGCAGTTTTGGTCAACAAGAGAGCAGCGGGATGAGGCTCAGATTCATCTCGTGGTGGGATCCACCCGGATGAAGTGCAGAGAGGGTCTCAGGCCCGGAATGACCCCACGCGCCCGCCCACGTGGATACGAGGCGCTCCGGCAAATGGGCCGAGGATGCATTGAAGGAGGCGACGGGATATGCGACATTCCGCGTGAAGATTCGGGTCGAGTCTGATGTGAATTAGTGTTATCTGACGCCAGCCACCGTGCAACTCGGAGATCTGACATCTCAGTGGCGTCCAAGAAGAGGTATGATTGGTGTGGTTAGCAATCGAGGTAGCGGCGGCTTGACTAATGCGCTGTGTAGTATTCAGTAGCGTTGATGAATCGGAACTCGGGAGCATACAGATATTTTCTATGCCGGGCTCTGCGGGTGAAGTTCTGCGGATAGAAGTCCAGCAAGTCGTTGACGATGGAAGAAGAGAAGCCAATTAGCCGCGCCGGACAGCATTCAGGCTAAATGCAAAATAAAACGGGTCTCAGCGAAATCGATTCTCCACAATAGCACCTCGTGCGGGCCCTTGGGGAAAGTTGGAAACAGCAATGCTCGTTGAGAGGCCCAGGCCAGGAACATGCAGATACGGTACTTACGCTTGTGATGGACAGAGAAAACGAGAACCAAAAAGAAGCAGCTTCTCTCGTTCGAAATACAGACACACCTAGGGGGGGGAGCAGTGACACGTACGAAAACCTGTCAGAATACAGTATTATGCGTACCCCATGCCGTCTTTCACACGCTTCTCATTGTCAACGAGGCACAGCGTTAGCTGGTCGCGGTTCTTACAGAGCAGGAACGGAGTAGAGTCGAAGGGAACCAGTGGCAGAGCAGGAAAACCGCCCTGAATCAACACCAAAGGAAGGGCTGCTAAAGTCACAATTCCCATGCATCTTGGCCTCCATCCAGCAAAACTTTGCAAAATGGGGCCCTGACCTTGACAGCCAGCAGCGGGAAGCTTGAACTCCAATTTACCCCAATGGAAGTCTCCTGGGTCGACCGTCGCTCAAGTCCTCAGGCTGATTTAAACGCACAAATGGGCGCGTGTCGTTCTGTAGCAGCGACCACACCCCCATGTCCACATGAAGCCCGGCCGGCTTATCCACGCCTCTCCGTCTGAGGTGCCTTTTCCTGCCCGTAACATTACCCGGCCACTACACGTATGGATATTTCATATCGTCCAATGTCGACGTGCCACGGGCTCGGAATGAGCAGCTAGCTTTCTACCCTCCAGCGGGGACCCCCTGGCTGGTTGGTTGGCTCTGGGGAAGGCGATCTGTGTGTCACTTTTTATCCTATCGGTCCCTTTTCACCCCGCCAGCCTCTTGAGCCCTAGATATCGCCCCAAATCTGTACGGTGACGGCACCATGGGGTGTCTGAAGGCGCGCAGCCGGCCGGGTACAGGTGGAGGTTATCGACGCGGGCAGGGAAAAGCCAGGAAGTTGTAACTGGTCTACTTACCCTAGGATTCAGTGAGCTTGCCTTCCCGGCCAGACGATTGTCCAATTTGTTCTACATTGCCTGGCAACCAGGTATCAGAGCACCTGACGTACCACGGTTATAAATACGTACATTGTCTCTCTTCCTGACCTCGAGCGCCGTCCTTGCTCTTCTTCTCTCCCTCTCCTCTTCTCTCTCTCAAGTTTTACCACGCTTGGTTTGAACTTGGCACCCTCGAACCTGTTCTCCTACGGCCTACTCCCCAGAAGAACGACAGCTACCATCCATCATGGCCGTTCCCAACATCAAGCTGAACAGCGGCTTTGACATGCCCCAAGTGGGCTTCGGTCTGTGGAAGGTTGACAACGCCATTGCCGCCGACACCGTCTACGAGGCCATCAAGGCCGGATACCGTCTGTTTGACGGCGCCTGCGGTAAGTGAACAAATTACGAGCACAAGCATACACTGTCATGGTGGCGCGAGAGCGAGAGCAAGAGGTAGAATGCCGCAGCGCATCCAACTCAGCTTCAATGACAAGCAGCAACTGTGTGGCAATAGAGAAGCAATTGGACAGATTCTTCTTTGGAAAAAACGCGTTGCGCGCTGCCACTGACGCTGGTGTTGGTGGTCTGCTTCGTTTCTCCCCCTCCATAATTCTTCTTGGGAAGCCTGAACTACCCCTCCTCAACCCCACCATGGATGATCGGTGCGAATTTCTGCAGTGCACCGATGGGGGGTTTTCCCCCATGCGCTACAACTTCACCCGGAAAGCTCTCCGCAGACACCCCTGCACTTCATCCGGGATTAGCACCCCTCGCCCCCCCCCCCCCCCCCCCCCCCGACCTACCCTGTCACTCGTCACTCCCCTCACTGCCCTCACCAATGCCATCCACCTACACTCGGGGCTACACTCCCGTATTCCCCGAATTACATATGTACAAATCATGCAACCTGTGAATCGCTACAATCGCAATTCTTGCCACAGGAGAAACATGTCACTGACGTTGTCAACTATTCAGATTACGGCAATGAAGTCGAGTGTGGCCAGGGTGTTGCCCGCGCCATCAAGGAGGGTCTCGTCAAGCGTGAGGAGCTCTTCATCGTTTCCAAGCTCTGGAACACCTTCCACGATGGTGAGCGCGTAGAGCCCATCGTCAAGAAGCAGCTCGCCGACTGGGGCGTCGACTACTTCGACCTCTACCTCATCCACTTCCCCGTCGCCCTCGAGTACGTCGACCCCTCCGTCAGATACCCTCCCGGCTGGCACTACGATGGCAAGACCGAGATCCGCCCCTCCAAGGCCTCCATCCAGGAGACCTGGACCGCCATGGAGAGCCTCGTTGAGAGCAAGCTCTCCAAGAGCATCGGTGTCTCCAACTTCCAGGGCCAGCTCCTCTACGACCTCCTCCGCTACGCCAAGATCCCTCCTGCTACCCTGCAGATCGAGCACCACCCCTACCTCGTCCAGCCTGACCTGATCAAGCTGGCTGCCAACGAGGGTATCGCCGTTACCGCCTACTCCTCATTCGGCCCTGCCTCCTTCAAGGAGTTCAACATGGAGCACGCCACCGACTTTGTTCCTCTCTTTGAGGAGCCTACCGTCACGGCCATTGCCAAGAAGCACAACAAGGAGCCTTCCCAGGTCCTTCTCCGCTGGGCTACCCAGCGCGGTCTTGCTGTCATTCCCAAGACCAGCCGCAAGCACGTCCTTGCCCAAAACCTGTCTGTCACCGACTTCGACCTCGAGCAGTCCGAGATCGACAAGATCAGCTCCCTTGACAGGAAGACCCGCTTCAACCAGCCCGCAAACGTGAGTTCATTCATCATCAAGGTGCTGTTGTGTAATGAATGTCAGCTAACAGATATATCAGTACTTCCCCACTGAGAAGCTTTGGATCTTTGGTTAAATGGGTCACATTCCACATCCCATCCATCTTGCCTGATTTATCGTACTTCATAACCACCCGCACCACCCCTTTGAGAGCGGCCTTTTGGTAGTCTGCAACTGGCGGTGTGCATGGGAGCTCTGTCCAACATGTGTCAAACCACGTACAGCGTACGTCAATTGTATCTAGATACCCTCTCCCTCGGCAAGACTATGATCTGCCGCTAAAATACAACGAAAGCCATGAACAAGCCAGGTTGGAAATCCCGCTCGCCCGTGACATGCAGTGTTTACACACCCAAAGTCAGAAAAAGCCGCCTGCCCATGAACAAAGCATCACACCAGGCAACATGCACAGTGCGGCTTTGTGTATGTGTGTGTGTGTGTGTGTGTGTGTGTGTGTACCGAGAATTATCTCGTGTGGTGAAGAAAGGCCCTTATATGTCCACTGATTTCTGCCTTTACACCCAGATCTCTAATCAAACGCCATTGTAACGCCACGCCAGCCTCATAGGTCTCATGCAAAAATGCTGTGCCTGAAAATCATGATGTCTTGACAAAGGCTAGAAGGATTTGTCAGCATGTGATTCCGCGATAATTGGGGTTCTCTCAATGTACTCACTTGCGTCGATCTGAGATAGTTGGGGCAATGCCAGACGGACTTTGTTGCGATACACCGCGGGCCCTCTAAGCTGCAGCGGGTTGCCCTCAAAGTAGACCGTTGTCAGGTGCTCCTTGTCCTTGAGCTCCTTCTCGACCTCGTTGAAGTCACCAATCTGGTTGTAACTGGCCCAGAGCTCCTCAAGGTTCTTGAGGGGAGCGAGGCCCTTTACGCTTGCGACAGCGTTGTTGGAGATGTCGAGCACGCGCAGCTTCTCGTTCTTCTCGATACCGGCGAGGGAGGTGAGGGCGTTGTGGGAGATGTAAAGTTCCTCGAGACCGGGCACCTCGGCGAGGGGCGCCAGATCGCGGATACGGTTCGACTGGATGCTGAGGAGGCGGAGGTTGGTGAGGCCGCCTAGCCCCGTGAGCTCGGTGATCTTGTTCTTGGCGACCCAGAGCTCGTCGAGCTTCTTCAAAGAATCGAGGTTTTGGAGGACGCGGATCCGGTTGGAGCCGAGTTCGAGGGAGGTGAGGTTATCCAGACCCTCGAGGTTTTCGATTGTGGAAATCTTGTTGGCGACGAGGAAGAGCTCTTTGAGTTTGGTCAGGTGGTTTACGCGCTTGATGTGCTTGATCTTGTTGAAACTAAGGTCGAGGGAGGTGAGGTTGACGAGGTCGTCGAGGCCACGGATGTGGGAGATGAGGTTGTCGTAAAAGTCGAGGTCCTCGAGGGTGGGCGCGAGGGCGGCGAGGCCGTCGATGGACTGGATCGAATTCTGGCGGAGGCAGAGGCGGACGACTTTTTGAAAGCGTTCGAGGCGTAGGGCGGGGATGGAGGAGACGCGGGCGTGGGAGACGATGAGTTCGTCTGTTTCTGGGTCTTCGCCGTCGAGGAGATCTGTGGGAGGGTATGTGTTAGTTCCCATGCATACGTCTCGCTTCATTCTTCTAGCCTAACGAAGAGAGCGCGCCAGAGGGAGACTTGCCTTCGTCAGCGGGTAGTTCTTCGCCCGGAAGGACGTTCTCGTCGTCTGATTCCGGATCGGAGAGAATCTCGGGGTTGGCGAGAACAGCGGTGCGCTGGACCCTGAGCTTGCCGTCCCATCCTTTGCTGTTCCTTAGGCCTGGGCTGGTCTGGCCGTCCGTCCGCGGGGAGGCGCTGGCGTCTTCTTCAGGGAGCTCGATGCGCGGAGAGTGCTTCGGCGACGAGGGTTCTGTCGGAGTGGTGGGATCTACGGGGCCGGGCATGATGGGCGGATTTCGATTCGGTTCGGGGGGTTTCGCGGTGGCTGTTGTTGGAGGATAAGGTTTCTTTTGTTCGGTCGTGGCTCCGAGTGATGTTGGAGATTTAAGAGTGGCGGGGCGAGAATGAGCAAACGGGAAAAAAGGCAGTTGCTGAAAGTCGGCAGTGAATTCTCGGCGGGGCGGGGTGGGAGGATCTGATCAAGAAAGTGGGATGCTTTGGGGGACCTGGAGGAAATGGACACGGCGGCAGATCGAAGTGGGATTGGGAAAATGGAGGGGTTGTTTGGTGAGGGATCGAAAATCAAGATCTAGTGTCACACATGCTGGGATACGGGATATGGGGGAAGGATGTGCGATTTCGCGGTGTAAAGCAAGGCAACGTCTAGTATCGAGGGGGCGGGCTGATTGATTATTTATTACTCCGTATGGAGTACGGATAGTTACGCCCGCTTTCTCGCACACCTCACACGTGGACGCCTTTCCCCCGAATGCCTGGTGTGCAGGTGTTGGATTTGGGCAGGGGGAGGAGAACAGCACAGCACATGCCCCTGGGGATTTGGGAACACCTGCAATGAGGTAAGGCGAGAAGTGACGGGATGGCTGGGCTTGTCGTGTATCCGTAGGTAGGTACTCCGTACGGTTCATCCCCCTCTCCTGTGCCTGCCTTCCATTTCCATTCGACCTACTAGATATTTCGCGAGCGTAGGATTGGCGGGCTGGTTCCAGCAATCCATGAGGGCCGTTTGGCGCTAGAGTATGACGTCCCAATGGACCAGGAAGGCGGGCAGGAACTGACGAAGTACCCGAGTAGCAGTGAAGGCGGGGGTATTACTAGGTCTACCATTGTAGTATACTCGGTAAGGTACCGGGCTGGATGGACCCAGAAAGCGAGAATCACGCCGTGGAATGAGATGATGATTCTTTAGAAGGGAACGGATATCGAAGCGGCAGATAGAGCAGCGCCAGGCAGTCTTTAATGACTGTCTTACTACCTGGATCGAGACCACCCTCTAGAAAGCCATTGTTGCAGCCTGTCATCATGAAGTTTGTCTTGCCTGGTGTCACAGAGTGGCCTTGTCTCAGACGCAGCACATGTCTTGACCATCTCCCATCTTACACAGCGGAACACACACCCAACACCACACACAGACACAGACACACCTCGTGCCAATGGCGGAAGCCCGCCTATTGTCCATTCCTCCTCGATCCTGTCAATTACAGTATCCAAAGAGGACGCACTAGACCCCTCAAGAGGAGAAGGAATCACCGTTGCAATTGATGGACGAATGCAGACCGCCGACCATTGGGCTGGAATCTTGGGACCCCGACCTGCAATCCTTGTGCTGAATAAGTCCGTCTTCGTTTGCCGCCAAACGCCGAATTCGAACGTTGCCTCCGAAGCTGTCTGGACGGAATAGGACCGCCTGCATGCCCGGCCATAGTGAACCCAGTCGCGTTCGAACACGACCACTGCGCACCATGTCATGACCCGTCACTCTAAAGTCCACGATATCTTCTCCGAACAAACGTCCCCGTGTCGTTTTCTTGCGCAAGCAGCAGCCAGGAACCGCCCCTCTTTCCCAGGGTACCTAACGCTTCTGTTTAAGGTAATCCGCGTCTCAGGGTCTTCTTCCGTTACCTTAGACCCAACAACTGGGCCACATCATCTCACCCCACGCCCGATTCGCGCCTCCATGTCTCGCGAGCAACCGTGATGCATGCTATCCGCGCATCCTCGATTGGACAGCTCCTACATCATCCTCGCCGTCTGCAAGCACTTCTCATCACGGCACCATGGCGAGCCACGTCTCAGCGGCAGTCGATGCCGACGCTACCTCTGACGCCGCACCTCGGCCTCACACACAAGCGGCACTTCAATGCTCAAGCACTCTATGTACCGCCCCTCGTCTTTACCGGCCTATTGGTCGTTCTGTGGACGCAAAAGTGTCTCGCAATGATCGTCTTCCAGAACAAGATCATTTACATGCCAGGCCTGCCACCCAATGCACGTAGGGAGCGCATCGAAGACTACGCGAAGCAGTGTTGGGGTGTACAGTGGGAGGAGAAGAGGATCCGCGCCGCCGACGGGACGGATCTAGCCCTCTGCGTGGCCTCGGCGACATCGACTGGTGACAGGAAGACCACGTCGCTCGACGATACTCTATCGGTGCCGTCCATCTACATCCTCTACTTTCAGGGTCCGCCTCGTCCCCGTCCCCATACCCCGGCAGGCACATAGCTTTTCCCCTTGTGCCTCTCCAAACGAACAAAGGCTCATGCTCTGGGGAACATAGGAAACGCCTCGTCCATTCCCCCACGTTTGCCCGACCTATCATGGGTCCTGCGATCGTTGCAGCAGAGCAAACGGCCGGCGCGATACACCTTTGTGTGTCTAAGCTACCGCGGGTACTGGACGTCGAGGGGTCGTCCCTCCGAGAAGGGTATCAATATAGACGCGCAGGCGGCTCTGCATTGGATTGGGCGAATGCACAGCGAGCACGATGTCCACAGGCACCGCCCAACGCCGGAGGTCATACTCTGGGGTCAGAGCATCGGCGCTGGGGTCGCCACGAACCTCGCCGCGTGGGAGGCGTTCCCGCCCACGTTGCGGCTACGGTCGCTGATCCTCGAGACACCTTTCACGTCCGTCAAGGACATGCTGGCGACGCTGTACCCCCAGAAATGGGTGCCATACCGTCATCTCTGGCCGTTTCTCCGGAATCACCTGGACAGCTGGACGAACCTAGCTGCGATCGCCGGGAACTGGTCCGGGTCGAGGAGCTGTGAGAGACCTCGCATTACGATCGTGGAAGCTGGCAGGGACGAGCTAGTGCCGGCCGGGCACGGCGCGAAGCTGGTCCGGCGCTGCGAAGAGGTCGGGCTCGAGGTAGAGAAGAAGACGGTGCAGGGCGCTTTCCACAACGATGCCGTCGTCAGGCTAGAGGGACGCAGAACCGTCGTCGCCTGCATTGAGCAGGTCGCTGCTAAAATCTGATGGACACTAACAATGACATCAAGTGAAGTCTGTCTAGCTGAGCAGTAAATTCACACGAAGCTGTCACGGTGACAGTTCAAAGCTGTAGATGTTGGTCATCCTGAAGTGGGCAAACCTGATTGGCGAATTGAATGAGTCTATTGCACTGCCGGGGGAGCTGCTTCGGCTTTCGAGTTCGGTTTGGATTTCGGACTGGGAAGCTAGGAACCGCTCCCCGGGCCCCGGCAAACCACCTCAGTGCAGGTTTATTAGAGAGATAAGTGATGGTCAGGGGTTAAATTGCCTTGCCTCTTTTTGCAGAAAACCGAGCCGGGTGGATGGATGGTACCATCCCTCACGGTCCAACGCCATGTGCGCCATCTCCAAAGCCTTTCTCTGAATGTCAGGCTTTTTAAGATAGAGCAAAACAGTACATTGAATTACTGGTAGATCAGTTCATCTCCAAACTGATGCTTCAAATCATCAGTAGATTCCTTTGATCCCATCAACTATTCCTGTTACTTGACTGAAAGTCTTCGCCCCTTGTACAACGGCAATGAAGCCAGATTGAGTATCTGCTCCTAACATTTCTTATTCCGGCCAAGTGATGGGCACAGAAGCTTGGACGCGGCCATGCCGTCTCAACGTGGATCATCTCAGGCTTTTTCCACTGTCCCAGGCACCTAGGCAGCTTTTCGCGTGAACTGTGAACCGTGGGAGAACCACAGATGTGTGCTCGGCAGCCCGCAAACTCCCGGACATAAGTACCCTTTGGGCTGTTGAGTCACCGCGGAGTGACCTGTCGACAGGAGCGAGGAATCAGCCAGCCCCCCTGACTTGAGCACAGTGGCACCGAACCAACTGCACCAAAGCCAACCCGACGCAAGCTTGCACACACTTCTCTTTCTTCCTAGACTCGGCTCCTTGTTAGGTTGTTCCCCCTGCGGATGGCTTGGACATGGCGCAGTTTTAGGACCGGGTTCGGCCTGGTTCTCAGTACCTGCCAGTGTCCGCCAACTTTCCCAAGAGTGCCACCACAGAGGCAGCCAAGCAGAACCCGGCGCGCCCCCCACTTTAACATCAGCGAAGTACCCTGCTGTCGTGCACGTGATATCGCATCCGAGGCGTGCGTCCCTCCGACCCACCGACGCGTCCCCCTTGATCCCCCAGACGCGTCCAATGAGGACGTTCTCACCACTTCTTTTTATCAGTCCGCCCCCCTCTCCCCAGGCACAGAGTCTCGGTGTATCCTGTTCAAAAGCAGCCGGTGCAAGGCAATCACTACAACGTACTTCAGGTAGGGGAGGGATCTCGGGGGACCGTGCCAGGAACTCAGGCTGTATATATTAGAATCCGGTTGCCCATCCCCCATGGATTTTTCTTGACTTCTCTCTCTCTTCTGTATTCACGCATCTCGGAAACGGCGCTTTAGGTAGTTCAAACACATTTTTCCATCAGGATCAATCTTTCCGTCCATCCCATAGTCATCGATAATCAATTATTCCATCCACCACCTACCTTTTTTTTTCTCCATCTCTTGAGATTTCCCCCAACGACGTTCCTTGGGCATTCGAGGTGTGATATCTGATCTCTACACTTGATTCTTTCCTACTCGGCAAAATCGATCCCGACCGGTCCAGGAGTCATCAGTCAAAATGTTCAGCAGACGCTACGAACCGCCACAGACCGTTAACAAGAGTTTCTCAAAGAGCCACAAGGCATCCAAATCAAGCTCGTCATTCAGCAAATCCAGCGGCGTTTCGAAACATCGCCATGAATCCCGCCACAGCCGACGACCAACGACCGCCACTACCACAACAAGCACTGCGACCGAGGATACTTCCATGAGCAAGTAAGTCTTCACCTCATTTACCCTATATTCCCCGTCGACTGGATGCATGTCGTTTCGAAAGAGATAAAAGGAACCAAACACTGACAACCCCACCCAACAACAGCAACCTCACCTCCGCAATCGTAACCCTCGTCGTCGGCACAGAACAACGCCTCTTCGCCGCCCACGAAGACGTCCTCTGCGCTTCGCCCTTTTTCCAAAACGCCCTCCGCGCCAACCTATACGGCAGCCCCGCCGACGTCGTCGGCTCCCCGGCCTCGGCTTCCTCGTCGGCCGCCCCGACCAAGCGCATCGCCTTGCCCGATGAGGAGCCCGAGATCTTCTCGTCCGTGCTGGAGTACCTCTACAAGGGCGACTACTACCCGCGTCTGGTACACAACAAGCGCCGTAACTCGTGGGAGATTGAGGCCCTCGACAGGACCGCTGACAACGGCAGAGGCGGCGTCGAGTCGACCGTCTACCACCACGGTGTCGACGGCGATTTGCTCAAGGACACGGTGATTTACTGTGCCGCAGAGAAGTATGGTCTTGAGGAGCTGAAGAGGGTTTCGCTGAGGAAGCAGGGTCTTCGTGAGTTTCTCATCCTGGTGTTTTCACCTCTTTTCATTTTGACGTATCTCACTAACATGTGGCTTATAGAATCCGGCATCCAGTGCAGCACCATCCTGGCGTCTGCCCGGTATGCCTATGCAAACACACCCGACAGCGACTCGAAGCTGCGAGCGCACTACCTCGCCCTCATCATCCGCAGCCGGAGCACCTTTAAGCGGAGCGGTACGATGCAGCTGGAGATGTTCAATGGCGGCACCCCGCTCTTCTTCGACCTCTTTGTCGCGCTTTGCAACCACGTCGATGACATCTCGACTGTGTAAGTCGCCCTCTACCCGAAACACCACCGCTTCTTTGCTGATGATTATACAGAAACTCTCCTCGCACGCCCCGTGGTGGCCGTTTCTAAGGGGCATACCCCGACCCTTTCCCCATTTCCTACAACATCCAAATCTTCTCATCTCAGCCAAGGACGAAGGAATACCCGGCTCACCATAACTAATGACTTTACGTTCTCACGCAATCTTGTCTTTATTTTTCTCACCTATTTCTCGCTGTTGCTACTGACTGTTGTTGAAACGGGCTACATGAAGCCTGCTGGACTTGCAAAAACCGCAAAATACCATAAAGATCAAGGCGTTTGAAAATCCATCCCACTGGATAGGGATGGTCATGGCGTTTGGAGACAACATATGTATTATTTCTGCAATCTCCTTGGCATTTCATACTTCAATGTTTCTTCTTCTCTTTCTTGACTTCTCACGAGAAATCCTTGTACATTTATTTCTTACTTTGAGCGCGACGATATTTCTCCCTAAGAGGAGGAGATTCTTGACAGGCAGTTTTGATGAAGACAGGAGACCTGTTCCTTATTTGTCGTCCGTTAAGAGACGACTGAGAAAACGACAGCAAGATATTCTGGCTGTAGTAGAGCGAAAAGGACTGGAAAAGAGACGAAAGAATTGGGACAAATTGCGTCTTTTACGAAGAGATCGAATCATTAATTGTAAAATTATCATTCTTCACACTCGCTTTCTAGTTTTGAGAATCTACAGGAGTTGCTGCTGTGATTTTTGAGTCTCTGTTCGATATTAACGAAAATACCCCGTCGTTGGAACACCGGCGATATCCAACGAGTGATTTGATGGAAGTCTCCTAGTGCTCTCTGCTTGTTTCCCCCTAGTGATCTGAAACATAGCCAGCATCCCAAGATACCTCACCTGCCGAAGTCTCCGGTCCCAAGAGTCCTACGTGAATAACCGTGAATGCCCAAGGCACACAACTTCACAGACCCGATCCAGGCGAACCATCCCTGCCTATCTCAACCGCATTCATCGCCCCCGGTCCGCCCTCCCCCGGTAGAGTGTCCCGGTTCCTGGTCCGCCCGCCGCGGCGACCATGGGCTCGCCTAGCGTAAGGTAGCGTAGCGGCCGTGTTTTCTTGCCCCCTCCGTACAAGCTTGGCCTGTGAGTCATATTGCTAGCATCACCGAGGCTGACTCTTACCAACACTATCACCGATTCACGCACATCACCACGGCCCAACCCCACCCTCATCGGGAACACACACACACACACACACACACACTCTTCCAGACCCCGGCTTTTCCCTTTGCTTCTCCTGACTAAGTACCTTATCACGCTACTTATGCAAGCACTTAAACTAAACTCAACCACACCCTCTTCGCTTACTTGGGTAGGCCGTTCGTAGCAGAGAAGGCTGTGACGCTTGGGAGGGGGTTTAAGTCAGACGTTAGTCACCGATACACCTCCGCTGTCCATTGAGTCGCCATAGGAGAGGATCTTTCCGAAAGGAAGGATGAGAGGTGGAGATGGGTGCGGTAGAGGTGTGTGTGGAGTAACCTGGAAGGTGTTATAGGAAGGACTGGAATTGAGGGTGGTTTCCTGCATACAGAGAAATGGTGTTTGACTGGTCTTGCGTGACTGACTACATGTGAATAGTATGGATTGTGAAACTACAAAAGAAACTGCCTACCTTGGGTGAAAGGTTACTGGTGGACTAGATATCAGACATGGGGTATAACACAGGTACGCACCAAATACTTCGATAGACGGCCCCGTCCTATCCATGTTCTGCTAGATTGTATTTTTAACCGGAATAGTTGGTAACTCCTACCAATTCATTGATTGAACGCCAGCTTGTCATTCTCTCCCGTCACTGAATCACGAGGCCACGAGAGATTTCTTGCCTGAGGTGGTCCGTCTTGGAAGGCGCAAGCCGTACCCACGGCACCTACCTTCCCAGTATCAAACCTACCTTACATTCATCCGATGACCTTGCCACCACCAACGAACGACCTGGATGAATACACACAACAAGAAGCCCATATAGACCCCCTCAACTCCAAATCTGTCACCAGCACAGCAGGCGCCCCCTAGGTCGGGGGTCAGGTCAAACTGTGGCGTGGGTGGTGGAATTGGTTAATGATCAACGTCAATTATCTTCGCCAACCAGCCTACTCGACGACAGGCTCAGCGCATACGAGTTCGAATCCCGGCTTGAGCACCCAAAAATTTCCCAGCATGAGCACCAAGAGATGTAGCCCCCAGTTCAGCACCGGGGGGGTGAACTCTTTTGCCATTTTTGGTGCTTTGGGTCTTTGGATATGCTTATGTAATTCTAGTTGGCTTACGCAGTTGTCGAATATTGATGAATTTGATCCCATCAAACGGCGTCGAGATAGACTTTTGCTTTTTTAATTGCCTGTTATCACTAGTAGGGTGACCATGCATCCATCCTTCCTCGCACCAATGCATGCTGCCAGGTTTGCTCACACCTTATACGAGGCCGGTAAGTCCAGCAAGGCTGTGTCGCCTATGCCTATTGGGTAGAATGTGTCTCGCTGCTTTTATACGCACGAAGGTGTGGTATCAAGGCTGTATTATCTCAGGCCCTCAGGCCGGTCTAAAGTCTCATGCGGTCGGAGTCCCCACCCCACCATCTCCGTCTAAACCCCTGTTCCGGGGAACGCCCCGTTCTTGGAGAGGACGACGATGCCGCGCTCGCGGGCGATGTAGCCCTTCATGAGGTTCTGCATAGAGATGAAGTGTTAGTCATGTACTCGACGAATGACTGGAGGGCTATGGAGCTCTGCGAAGCAAGCGGGCCTTTGTGGAAGCCATCACGACACTTGAGTTGCCTTGAGCACGCAATGTCGGCCCCGTGAAGATGTTGCCTACAAGGCAACTGGAGTTCACGGGGGTAATGAGGAAAGCTCGAAGAGGCAGATCAACGCGCGTCGAGATCTCAGCATCATTTTGAACCGACTGTATGAAAGATTGAGGAACGTCTGCACTGCAGACGGAGGTCGCTCACAACTCAGGCCACCAAAAGACCAGGCCAAAAAGCACGACGAAAGAAAAGCTGCCACGTACCTTGTAGATCATGTTGGCCAACAGGCACTCAACCTCGTCCGGATCAACAGTCTCCTGGCTACCGAGGCTAATAGCAGCTGTGAACTCGGCGACTGGGACTCTGGACCGACGGACGGGAGCGGCGCCGGCTTCTTTCGCCTCCTCGAAGCCGCCGACGACAAAGACCTTGCGCAAGAGGTTGCGCAGCGCGATATCGCGACCGCGCTCTAGCGTGAGGTAGATTCTGCGGCGGACGAACTCCTCCTCGCCTTCTTGCAGAGCTATATCAAAGTTGCGCAAATCGCCCTTGCGGATGCATTGCGACAGTGGGAGGAAGAGCTTCTGCAGCCGCGGGTAAGGCTCGAGGAGTTTGCTGCTGGGCAGGGTGTGTGTGGTGAGAAGATGGCATGGGATCAGGTAGGTAAGGATTCTCCTATGATGCTTGTTAGTGGCTGGGAAGTGCGTTGTGGGGTATCTCAAGATGACTTACTCTTGGTTGCTCTTTGCGTCCTTGTGACACAGTGACCATGCCTCAGTGAGGTGCTTTTCTGCCTAAATTTCGTCAGATTCGCATTGGAGAACCGGCAGACTCTGGGGAATTTTACCTCGACATAGTTCTCCTCCAAGAAGAAGAGCACGCCTTCGTAGTACTTGAAAGTCACCCGCTGTGACTTGGGGAATGCTTCCAGTGGAGGCATATCTCCACGGTTCGTAGACAACGCCTTTAGGATTGTCCGGCTCAAACTTGCCGAGTTGAGTTTGAAGTAGGTCTTGAAAAGTAGGTTGATGATGTAGTAGATAGCCCACTTTCTTGATTCTTCGAGAGGTGCTCTGTCCACAGTCAGAACTAGCTAACGGCCTTCGGGTTTCTCGACATACCTATCGCTCAAACACAGTGTGAAAATACGCTTGAGCTGCTGTTCGCAGTCGCGCAGCTGCTTCTGCTTTTCCAAGTCCGGATCGTAGTCGTCAGCAAGATCCATTGCGTCAGCAGTGGCATCGGTGATGTTCCGCTCCTCGTCTGAGCTGATGGCGAAGAGACGCAAATGCTTGCCAGCAAGGTAGAGACAGGGAATTGTCCACGCCTCGAAGCCATAATTAGTGTAGCCTCGGATGAGAGCGGTGGTGAATTCCTTCCAAGACTCATACACCTTGGTCCATGATGAAGTCTATTGTCGGTGTTAGTGATGAAGCCAAAGGAGGGGCACGGGGAGGCGTATTGCGCGAGAGCTCACCCTACCTCCAGCACCGGAGTCGCCCTCTACTTTGAGGATCTCGCCAATGGCCTTCCAGTACGCCGTGTATACTTCCACCCAGCCTGTGGTCTCCTCATGGTCAAGCTTGAATTTCTTAGATCCTGGGCCCCGACCGAGGAGCATGTACTTGATGTCGTTCTTGGCTTCTTGGACGTTGGTGCTCAGGTAGATGGACCGTAGCCTGTCCGGCTTGTTGACTGGGCTGAAGGACTGAAGTGTCTGCGCAAGAGAGTACCCAGACCGAGTCTTGTAGGCATTGCGAAACTCCTCAAAAAGAGGCTCCATCCTGTCTCTTTAAGCCCTTGTCGTGTGTATGTTGGAAGGTGAGTAAGTTGAGTGATGGAGGAGCTGAAGAGCGAACGCTCTGTAGACTGTTGTTGGAAGGTGACGCAAGTTTTATCAGAGGAGCCTGCCAAATGTATTCAGAAGACAATCCACCTGCAAGTCTTATGATGAAAGCGATCAACGTCTAACATCGGCCGGCGTATGTGGTTTTCTTTGTGATGCTGTTGCTCATCGGAGGGCAGTCTGCGCTGTGATTGGTCGAAAACCAGCGACTTTGGGATACACCAGAGGCAGCTCCTCCCTCTGATCATTCTGGTGGACACCGACTGTTCTGCGCCTGACATGCAAGGCAGGAATGCATTGACAGACCTTCTCGAAAAACTGGGCAGTTTGAAGTGGATCCCCACCAGCCGCAGAAAGGTGGGGTCCGGTCGCTTAGGAAAGTGTGGCGCTGACACATAGGGTTCTCGCCCTTTTTTTCATTTACCCAACTTTTTTGTTTTCCAATTCGGCTTCAGACCCAGCAGCAACCACCACGATATCGGATAATCGACGACCATCGGCCAGCTCTTCAAAGTAAGTCACCAATTACTCAAGTACGCGGGGGATCTTCAGTTTCTAACAAATTATTCAAGATGGGTAAGCACAACTCCTCTCTCCTCCCCTGGATCTGGATCTTGGATGCGAACGCCTGCTGCGAAATTTTCGAACCCGACCGCGACGAACAAAACTTTTTCACGGCCACTTGAGACATCACGAAGATGTTGTAACTCGGGATGACAGCCGTGGGTACGCTTGGATCTTGGATACAACAGCACCGGATTTCAGTTGCCCACATGTCGAGCGAGATCACCACACCCTCCCGACCGACGAATGGGTTAGGGCTTGGCTTTGGAGGAACGAGAAGGGGGGAAATGAGCGCAAGACCTGGCATTGCCTGACGACGCAACGCGATTCCGGCATTCTTTCGAAACCGATCGACCAGAAAATTCGCAGCAGCTCGGAACGACACAGCGATTCGCATCCTTGCATCCAGAGATAGTGTGGCTCCAGGACGACGCATAACTAATTATCTTCGCTACAGGTCGTCTTACGGAATACGAGGTCATCGGCCGCCACTTGCCCACCGAGTCCAACCCGACTCCGGCGTTGTACCGCATGATCATCTTCGCTCCCAACGTCACGGTTGCGAAGTCCCGTTACTGGTACTTCTTGCGTGGCCTGAAGAAGGTCAAGAAGGCCACCGGTGAGATCGTCAGCGTCAAGGAGGTACGTCACCGAAAACTTGAATACTCAACAGCGCACCCAAGTCAGAAACTGACTTTGTCCGCTACAGATCCAGGAAAAGCACCCCCTCAAGGTCAAGAACTTCGGTGTCTGGCTCCGCTACGACTCCCGCTCCGGCACCCACAACATGTACAAGGAGTACCGTGAGATGTCCCGCACCGATGCCGTCGAGGCTCTCTACTCCGACATGGCCGCCCGTCACCGTGCCCGCTTCAGGTCCATCCACGTATGTGCCCTCACGCCGGACATTTGGTCGCCCCCTGACCGGAAACCCGAACCTCTCACTAACAAAATCTACCACAGATCCTCAAGGTCGTCGAGCTCGAGAAGGGCGACGATGTCAAGCGCCCTTACATCAAGCAGCTCATCACCAAGGACCTCAGCTTCCCCCTCCCCCACCGCGTCTCCAAGCTCAACAACCAGAAGATCTTCAGCGCGAAGCGTCCCACCACCTTCGCATAAAGTGTTGGCTGTTGTGCGGCGTTGTTTCTCTGGTTTTCGACAAATGGAGGGGCGGGCTACTACTACTTGGCAGGTGTTCATTAGGTCTATGGAACTATCACGTGCATTTGCTCTCTGAAGGCGGGGGCCACCAAAAGAAATGAAATCAATTCAAAACATCATCTTTTCGCGAGCATGGCCAAAAAAAGCAGCAGGGGAGGGAGGGAAACCTACTCAAACCACATTTTGATAGATGGACGAATGATACCTGAGTACGAAGCTGTGAATTACGACTTCTTGATGAGACGATGCGGTTTACCTTAGATCTGCTCGGCCAGAAGAGGGATGTCAAGACGTCCGGCTTCGTCTACGTAGACAAATGCCAACTCACCCCGCGTCGGTTGTCGAACTATTGTCCGTGCCGTGATGCCGTGTTTGCGTCTTCTTTCTGAGGTATGAAGAATGAATTATCCCTCACTCCCGCAATCACGTCCAAGCCGCTCTGCCTTACCACATAATTGTCAAGGCGGCGTCTGCAACTGTCTTTCCTCTGGCTATTCTTTGCCCCGTAGACATTGGAGTACCGTTAATTTTACAGTGGTGACGTAACCCCTGCAGTTTGTGGTTGCTGTATTCATGTGAAGTGACATACTTGTCGCGGGCACAGGAACCGGCGACGAGCCTCCGTTTTCCCGGCATGATTCCCTTGATGGATGAGACGACATATTGGCCGTATGTCACGGACAGCAAGATCTATAACATATCAGGCGCGACAACACTGGCTTCTTATTGAGGGTTCAAGACATCTCTTCCATTCTCTAGGATTGATCGGCGTGATTCATCATCCCTATCGTACAAGCATCGCCGTTTCGCTCATTCCTTTCCTTTTCCATGTTATACATCACCCCAGTCCATCCCACGCGAGCCCTCACGCTTTCCTCCTCTTTCAGAATCACCCGTCATCACCAGGTGACCTCTCCATATTCGCGTCAACGACAAACTCGTCCCACGAACTCGGATCCCACCCAAAGTCCCCGGCATCCATCTGGATCCCGAAGTGCGCAATCAGGTCATGCGGGTTACTAAACAGCGGCGTGCCCCCAAACATGGCCATGTCCTCCGGCGTCAGTCCGAACGGTGGGTTCATGGGCGCTGACGTTGAAGGAGGCAGTGATGTCGCAGGCAACCCTGCCGCCGCCATCGATGGGTCGACGGCCATTGGCGTAGGGCCGCCCAAGCCGACAGTGTTTGTCGTCGCAAACGGCGCGCCCGTGGGAGGAAGCGTAGAGCCGCCTCCGTGCCAAGCAGCAGCGGCGGCGGCGGCACCACCGATTCGATCTGTCCTGAAGGCCGGGTGTAGTGTCCCCGTACTCACACCGTGGCCCCCTACCGCCGCCGATGATTCCTGAACATCCGTAACATCCACGTCTCCGTCCCCATCCTCATCACCATCTTCATCATCATCGTCGTCGTCATCATCCTCCTCTTCCTCATTCTGCGGCACCTCCACCGTCCGCCTTGCAGCCTCCTTCTGCTCCGTCGCGGCCGCACTCGCAGGCCCCCTACTACCATGAGCACGAGCATGGCTATGGCCACCGCCATCCCCACCTAACTTCAACTCCCCCATCATAGCCTCCGCCCTCGCAGCCCTCGCCCGCCTCAAAAGCTTCTTCAGCGGCCTCCACAACGTCCCCCGTCTCGTATCCGCAATCCGCTCCCTCATCCCGTGGAAATTCCGATCCACCACCCGCCAGCCCCTCTCGACCAGCTCCCCGCGCGTCTGCACGCACAACTCCGCCAGCGCGACAGCAAGCGGATGCCACTGCACGTAGCTGTCGATCCACCACCCGAACCGCTCGCGGTACGTTGCCGAGCTGTACTCGACGAGCTCGATGGTGTTCACCGCCGTGCGGAGCATCGTCTCCCGCGCGACGCGGGGCTTCGCTGTCGCCGTGGACGCGCGCGGGGTAAAGGGGTATTGTGCCGACAGCCACATTTTGAGAATGATGATGCGTACCGTTACGGCGGCGTGGTTGGCGGGTAGGTGCCGCGTGTCCTGGTCCCCGTCACTGCCGCCGCCGCCGCCGCCGCCGCCGCCGGAGCCGGAGCCGGAGCCGTCTGATGCAGGGGTCTTGGGCGGTGCGGTGCCGAAGAGGGCCTCAAGACGCTGCGCATGCGCCATAATCTCGTCCTCTGACGTCGTCGGCTCCGGCGTGCCGTCATTATCGAGCGCGAGCTGCGGGTGCCGCGGCCGGAGGTTTCCAAAGATACCCGACGACATGCTCGTGCACAGGCAAAACGTCATCTCCGTCGGGCCCGTCCTGTCCTCGAGTGGGTTTGTCGTCGCGGGGCCAAAGTCGTCGTCGTCGAGGTTGAAGGGTAAGCGGGTGTTGTAGGACTGCCGGGGGATGGCGGCTTCGGTGCCGCGGTCCTCGGCGGCGCGGATGTCGAGGACGACAATCATCCACCACAGTCGGCGGCGCATTTCGGCCTCGAAGGGCGGGAGAGTGGGGTTGATGCCGTCGCGGTGGAGGTGGAGGGCCTGGGCGAGGCGGACGACGAGGGGGATGAGGGCCCATGAGGCACGGCTGGCGTTGTGGGAGCGGAGGAAGCACTGTGAGATGGTTAGATATTGAATGGTTCTCGCATGAAGTTAAGTAAAACTAGACTCACCACGTAGTACGTCAGCGCTTGAAGGGTCCTGATCTCACTGCTGTTGAGATAATCCGCATTATGAAGCGCCCTCTCAACGCCCTCCCGATACCTCTGCGCAAGAACACTCTTCTCCTCCCCCAAATTCTTCAAACAAGCCTCGTTCGTCAAGGTCGTGATGGCGCCAAAGTACATGGAAAAGAACAAGGCCTCCGTCGCATCGTCAATATGCTTATTCACAGCGTTCGCGAACCCTTCCAGCTCCACCGAGACCGTCGGCCGGTGAATCACCTTGAACGCCGGATCGACATTCGAAAAGAAGATGCCGCACATGTACATGATGTGATCCCGCGGCGGGTGCCTCAACGGCTCGTCCCCGCCCGTGACGAAGCTGGAAATCAGTCCGGACAGCGCGGGCGGCGTCTGGCCCTTGTTGGCGATGGATGACTCGGGGCTCGTCGTGCTATGCTGCTGCTGCTGCTGCCCCTGCCCCTGCCCCTGGCCTCCATCCTCATCACCGGACCCCTCGCTGTCGGATGGTTGGTCCAGTGCCTGTCTCATACCCTCGACCTCTTGGCACAGGTTCTCCCAGAACTCGGCGCTCATGTAGTTGGTCGGCGGGGCGGGCTGGGGGTCCCATCCCGCGCCGGGCGATGACGGCTCCGCGTCATTCATGCCCGTGACTGAGTCGCCACCAACACCCCTCCGGCCCGCCGCCGATATAGAATGCGGCGTCGAGGCGGCGGCAGCAGCCAGGGAAGAGGCCGCTGTGGCAGCTGTCCCCGAGCCGGCTGCGGTACCACCGCTTCTGGCAGCCCCATCCACATTACCGGAGTCGACTTTGCTTACAATGCTCTCTAGACGAGTGATGCGGTTCAACAGCTCATTCTGCCTCCCCTGGCGTGGCTTGCGATTTCGCTTCCGGGAAGGGAAAACGCAGTCAAGATCGGAGCGCTCGCACTGCTTGCACCGGGGCTGTAATTTATCGCATTTTATCTTGCGATGGCGGCAGTTTGCGCAGCTGAGCTGTTGTTTACTGCTGCCGCCGCTGTTGCCAGTAGCGGCGCTGGTTTGGTCGAATTGTTGTCGGGCTGCGGTCGCCGATGATGCCGGCGGTGTCATTGTTTAGTGAGATTTCGATGAGTGTATGACAAGTCAAGGGTGGTGTGGGTGAGTGAGTATGTCGTGAAGGGTGTAAGCGACCCCAAAGTGAGTGAGTGGGAAGCTCAAGTGAAGCTCAGGTTGTGAGAAAGTGTGTGTGTGACGTCGGCTGTTGCTGACGTTGACGATTTTGAGCGTTTCCCCGCTAAGCTCGCGCTTGCATTCCTTTTAAGTTAAGAGCGAACGGGCGATCTACGTTCTTGTAACTCCTAAGCCCGGACTGACGTTCGTCCGCCGTACGGATATGTCAAAAGTATTTAGGTTTCCATCCAGAATGAAAGGGCGGGGAGGGGGGAGGTGTAATGAAGAGGCAATGATTTATTAGAATGAACTTATTCGCGAGTCGGTTTCCGAGGGTTTTGCTTGATGATGGATAGTGTTCTGCTTTGTGAGCAAAAAGATCAGGGTTGTGAGTGAGACAGGATGAATTGAAGCGCGGGGGGAAATATACCTATGAGGATTTGACGGTGGGCTGTAAGCCTGTAGCTTGTGTGGTTAGGTTCCCCACTGTCCACCCCCAGACCCCGAGATCTGCGTTCAGACGTAAAAATTTCCCAGGGGGTTTGCCCGAAACTAGGTACCTTACCACCCCGCTGCAGCAGGCGTAAAAAACCTTAAAAAACAAAGACTAGGTGGCACACGCAGTAAAGGTGCGACTATTTCGTAGATTTGGGTAGAAGAACTGATATGTCAGCACGTTCTGTATTCGTAGAAGCGTAAATTCCTAGTCGTGATTTGCTCGGTCTCGCTAGAGATGGAGGTCCCATCCGTTCTGTACCCTGGGGAAAGTAAAGTTTCTTGTCCGGTAGCATGCCGCGATTAGGAAGGATTCGACGAACTACCTCAACACATCGTGAACCGTAATTATAATTCTATAATTTTGGGGTTTCTTGGATTCTGGCCCAACTCCAGGCACCTACGGCAGTGATGCTTGTTTTTTTGACCAGTGCACCGCGAGAGCCAAGTCTGTCCAAGAGATGGATCAAAGACCTAGACCATCACACATCGGCGCGGCGTGGCGCTCGGAAGATCGCCGAGTGCGAGTTAATAATGGGAATTGCGGAGCTTTCCGTCCCTTACTACTTTAGCCCGCAGCCCCCAGGCCCTCGTCGTATTTACGTATCGTCGTACTTTCGGTAGGTATTCGTAAGCTAAAGCGACGATGCTGGAATAGTGATAGCGCGCTTGCGTACTTTATTCCGGGGACCCTCACTCTCAGCATGAACAGTCATTCAACTCATTTGAGGTTCCTGGGCCCGGTGAGATGACTCAAACCCAAAAATCCTTCATGACAATGTTACAGAGAGAGAGAAAGGAAAAGTAAATGAGATGAACAGAACACACAACCTTGCCTCTTTCTTCAGTCCAAGACACAAGCGTTGAAACCTCACACATCGGTAACAGTAAGGGAAGAGGGGAAAAGAAAAAACAATGACAGAAATGGACGAACAACTGGACTTCATCACGGTGAACACCACCCTCCCAACCCTTCCCCTTCCCCCCCTCGCCACACGCCAACCCGTCCTCACCAAGCGTCTCATCCTCAAACCCGTCAGCCAAGACGACCTGCACGCAGTGCACGCCATGCGCTCGCAGCCAGAGGTGATGAGGTGGGCAGTCGCCGGCTGCCCCGACGCGGACCTGCAAGAAACACAGGCCTGGCTGGACGACAACCTCCCGCCCAACGACGCCCACAACTACAACTTCACAATCTGCCTCCGGTCGACGGGCGAGTTCGTCGGTCTCGGCGGCGTCAAACGTATCAGCCACGGCTCCATCAGCAGCGGCCCCGGCGGCGAGCTGGGCTGGCCCGAGATTGGGTACCTCCTCCGTCAAGAGGCCTGGGGCAAAGGGTACGCCACCGAGTTCCTGCGGGGCTTCATCGGGGCCTGGTGGTCCCTGCCCCGCTCTGCCGCGCGTGCGCTCCGGGTTGAGAAGAGCGTCATCGGGGAGACCCGGCCGGTTCAGGACACGGAGCAGCCCGGGTCCGAGGAGGTGGCGGCGGCGGCGGGAGAAATGCTCACCGCCGTGACGGAGCTGGACAACTTTCCCAGTCAGAAAGTCTTGGACAAGACGGGCTTTCGAGAATTCAAGGTCTGGACGGAAGTCGATAAAAAGACACGGGAGACGACGACGCTTGTCGGCTATGGCATCGCTGCGCCGAAATAGGAAACTCAGCACGACGATGGAACAGAGCGGGCACTTACGATGAATGAGGAGATGTGGAAGGAAAGAATTTTACACTGACCATGTGTCGTTCGATTAAACCGCTCATCCCCGGGCTCTAAACCTTATTGGTCTACGGATACCTTTTTAAGTTGGCCAAGAGATTTCTGGGAGGCTCAGCACCACCTCAACAGGGGACATACTCGAGTTTTCTAGCTCTGGGGAGGGCGGTAGCGATGGGGCCAGTGCGGTTAGCCGTCACGGCTCGGAGGTCGCAACGAGGACGGCACCGGGTGTGCAAGACTCGGGGTGGGGAACCCAGCTTCGGACAATTTGCGTCTGTCCGTGATTCCTCCGATCTCACATCGGGGGCTAGCACCGCCGATGTTTGCGGGACTCGTTCTTCTACATATAAGAGAACAGATAACGCCAAGAAGTCAAATACATCTCATCCTAGCATAGAACCATAGACATAAGCTCTATAGACGAAACCATATTACATTGCCTCATCTCAGCCGACCTGATCTCGAGTTTTGCCTTCGCAAGATATTCACTGTCGTCACCCCTACCACACCAACTGCTACCCTAAAAAGAGCCATTGAGACCGACATGTCGCGACTCGGGCTGGCCAACACCATCGCCACTGCCACCGGCATCTTAGGGTGCGCGTGGTGGGCAGGTAAGCAAGCTCTCATTTCCCTTCACTCGCATGCTCTCTCGCTCTCTTCTTGCCATCAGCGGGGTCGACGTCAATTGCTGACTCTTAGGCCAGGCGCGGCGGCATCGTTGTCCATGTTCAGCATCCCCGCCATTATTCAAACCAGCGCCGAGCCAGGTCATGCACTGAAGCTGTGGCAACACATATTTTTGAACGGCGCGTCGACCGGCCCAAAAGTAGCGCTCGCCATTACGCTCTCGCTGGCCTACTCGGCATACGATCGCTACGACCAGGGTGTTGCATGGAAGCCGTTTGTTGCCGCTGGAGCTTTGAGTCTCGCCATCGTGCCCTATACCATCATCTTCATGTCGTCAACGAACAATGCGCTCATGTCCGGTGCACGGGGCATCGCAACGCTGGGTCTGTCCGAGACCACGGAGTTGTTAAAGAGGTGGCAGGCACTCAACGCCGTAAGAAGCATCATTTCCCTGGCGGGCGCCGCTATCGGGTTGTGGTATACCGCTTTCCAATGAGCGTGAGATGGTTTGATTCCTATCCAAGACATGTCGATCGTTTCTGTATAGACAGGGAACCGAGACGACGGAACGGCGACAGATTCATGTAAGATAAAGATAGCGCCCGAGGTGTGCTGACCAGGCGGATGGTTGGCGGTCAGTGCAACAACAGTTGGTCATCTCGTTGGTTGCTGCAGTGCCAGGAAGTGGTAGAAATGGTACTTGGTCAACGCAATGTACAACAGCAGGTCCCTGCAAGCCTTGTTCGTAACCTTTGCTCCTGTGTTCACCGCCAGATTACTATGTCCCAAAACCTTGGCTGCAACTGCATCATACATGGCTGCCGCAACGATTAGATTTAGATGGACACGCCGAGTCACCATGGTAAGCCGGGGTAGAGACACTGTGCCATGTATTCGTAAGGATGTGCGATGCGCCGCCGCGGATCACTTTCCGGATGCTAGCAGTGTTTCTGGAAGTCTGGAAGATGGGGCGGGAGTAGCGAAAAGATTGGGTGGATTGTCGAACCGGATCTTTGGTGTTTTACAAAAGCGCTCGCCGGGTTCCAGCCTGCTGGGGAAGCAGATGGCCACGGCTTAGGTGGACATGGTGACGTTGTCTTGGAGGTTAGTGACTCTGAAGTCTGGAAAAAGTAGCTTCCTAGAAGTTGTGTGGTGGAGGGTCGGGGAAAGAGATGAGACGGAGCAGAATTCGAGCAGCTCAACGGCGTGTGGCTGGGCGGTTCCTCTTCAGCGTCTGCTGAACCTTTAACTCTCTTGATTTGCGTACAAAGTACGGATAGTTAACCCAGACCAGACGGGCCAACCTGTCGGCTTGAACGGGTTGCCTCTAGAATAGAGGGTTGCGTGGCTAGGGCCGGCTGGCGGCTGAACGGGCACCAGCCTCCGCAACAAGGCACATCGCAGCTGGGCATGTCCAGCAGACGGCTCACCTGGGCAGACTTTCAGGCTGCATCCTGGGGGCCGAGGGAACTGGGCATCCATCGCTTTCGACGGGCCTCTTTGGTCATCTGGATCATCCGGATAGTCGGGTCCGTTTTGCTGCCCAGCCTCACTTTGCCTTATCTTCTGGAGCCTGGAGGATACGGATGCCAAATCATGTTGATCAGCTGGTGGGGGAGTCGGGACATGATAGTCGAGATATTAGATTAGGCGTAACCTCGGGAGTTGAACCCAAAACGACGACAGAAGATCAAGGTCGGACAAGCCGAGTACGGGTGCATCGAGATGCCGTAGGTTGGTGCTGGTGACTGGTGAGAGAGTGTGTGTGTGAGGTAAGGTATTTCGGGAGGAATGTGTGCCTATGCAAGTCAGAGGGGGAGCGGTGATGTTCCCAACTAACGGTCGTGAAGAGGTGAGATTGCCATGGGGAGAAAAGGTACATCGTGAGAAATGGAAGCAGCGAGAGGGCACCCTAAGGCGGTACGTACCTAACGGTTGGAGATGGAAGCAAGTGGGAGGAAAAGGTAAAGATACTTGGAAATATTGCCGAACCACCTAGAAAAAGCATGTATCTCTCGAAAGGCAGCCGACGGTCCGGCCCAAATTTGTCCCCGCAAGGGAAGCTGCGCCAGGGTGCACGTGTCAGCCCAACAGCCAAACGTTTTCCCTGTTTGATCGCTATTCTTACCTGCCACTGCCTTGCCTGCCTTGTCCTTCCCTGTCTTGCGCAGCGCGTGCTGCATGTAGGTATGTAGGTATTGAAGCTGCGAAAGAGCCCAGTTGCGTACCTAAGGTAAGTTGGTAAGGTAGGAAGAACCAGGCAGTTGCTTTCCCGCAGCTCGGTTCTGCCTGACGGGATGGAAAGTTCATGTCCATGTCCCTCCTTCCTCCCTTGAGAGTCCCTTCCCCCCCGGTCCCCCGTCCCCGTCCATCTTACCACGAAAACAATTCAGAGCCCCAGAGCGGCGGCGATCTTGAACCCCCGAAAAATGCCCATCCGTCCTATCGTGCGTCTTTGACCCCTCCAACCCCCAGCAGCAACAAGGCCCAAGTACCCTGTCCACATCAAGTTACAGTCCGAGTACATTAGTTACATCATCAGCTCGCTGCCCGCCCAATCCTCCATCAACCAGCTGCACCGCACTCTCCCGTCGTCGCCTTCAACTCTTTCGACCTTGGACTTGTGTTTCTCACACATCCATCCCCCTTCGCCCACGCTTCACACCCACTAGACGTCGTCGACCCGGATATTTCTCTCCTGCCCACCGGCTACCCTCGCGCGCACCCTCTCGCTCCTCTGGCGCGCATATTGACCGAGTTCTGATCCTGCGCCTCCCAGCCTCGACTTGCATCCGCACGTATCCATCCGGTATTGACTCACGTCTTGGCTTCAGCCTACTTCTGCCTCGCATCTCTGTCTCTCTCGTATGACGATGCTGTGGCGGCGGCCCGCACCCAAAGTACCTTAAGTTATTAGTAGCCGTTGAACCCTCAACTCAACCTCGCCCGCGCTCGCAGTCCAACGCTAGCAACTTGAACTCTTCCCAAAGCCTTTCAACAACAACCGAGCTGGACGATAATTTGCGCTCCAAGTCGTTCACAGTCCAGCGCCAGCTCGTTACAGCCACTGCCTGCGAAGCCCGAACCCTTTGCTTGTCAGCAGCACACGCCACCAAAAACCGTTATATCTCTCCATCCCGTCCCATCTCCACACTTTTGTCCCGGGACATTCCTGCCCACAAAAACGCACCGTTTGATGTAGACTTCGGCCCCGAATGGCGACGGCGACCGCAGAGGCCGACTCCAAAGAGTCCTCTGCTCATCCTCAACCTCAACCTCAACCTCAACCTCAACCGCAGGCCCAGTCACAATCCCAGAACCCCGATCCAAAGCCATCCTCCTCTTACGGTTATCTGTTCGGCCCAGACAAGGCTCCAACACTGATTCTCGATGCTCTCCTTCGCGCCATCGCCCTACACATTGTACGTCCGCGCCAGTCTTCCCCGACACCTCAAACCCTGGCTTCCTCCACCCCGCTTCCACCCCCATGGCCAAATACTAACCGAACCCCGCCTATCTACAGATTCGCGATGTTGGCGATAGACATGTTCAAGCCTTGACCCCTCAAAAGCTGGCTGCCTTCTACAAGGCCGTTGGTGGTAACTATGACTGTAAGCCTGAATCCTCACCCCGCATGCAAAGCACCCCATGCTGACAGCTCGTCATTATAGCCCTATTTGTCGATATGCCATTTCCCGCCATATCCTACATTTGGCAGGTTACCGGCTGCCAGCACTCCATGCAGCCCTCCGACAACGATTTCGACGCGCCCTCCGTTCCGGCCTTGACTCTTCGCGGTTTTGTTCGATGGGAGTCGATCGAGATACTGCTGAGCCCCGAGGAACATGTACCTTTCATCCAACAGGCCGTCAAGAGCTGGAACCTGAAGCATCCCGAGACGGGCGAACCTTTTCCCCCAGACCTACCCGCCGATGCTCTGCCCAGCGAGCCAGACGCCGGAATCGAGAAATGGCACAAGAAGTGCGCTGAGAAACTGAGGAAGGCCGCAGTGCCAGACGAGGAGCCGGCATCACCAAAGACTGCCCCTAGTCGACCAGCAGAAAGAGACGAGCCGAGAGTGAAGGCAGCATACGTGCACGTCCGGAATCCCTACCCTCCGAAGGGATCACCGAAACCCTCACCTCCGCCTCGTGGTCCTCAAGCAGACTACTTTGTTCCGCCAGGCCGGCCACCAGTTGCTTACAGCCATGTTCCTGGGGGTCACTCCGCGAATCGGTACCCCCCGTCTCGCCTCAATATTCCCCAGAGGACCCCGGACCAAGATCGATTCCGAGGACAAAACTCTCCTGACGACCGTCGACGCCGTAGCTTTTCTGACTACCCATCCCCTCCACAGGATCCACTGCACGCCAACGCCGAGCACCTGCATCCCAATCGACCACCCATGCAACCTCGCCGACACAGCCAACCTCGACACTATTCTTCGTCCTCAACGTCTGACTCTGAGGACGCGGGGAGTCCACGATCCAAACGCCGGCCTCATACACATCATTCAAACGAGCCCCCGCCACCTGGCTTCCGTCGCATGGGTGCTCCCTCGGTACCCCAGCCGCCACCAGTCACTCGTGTACATCGTGCGGAGCTGAGACCAGAAGACGCAAGGCGTCGTAGTATACCAGTGGTAGATGGCATCCGGGAGAAAATTAGTGAGAAAGTGGCGTCTATCCTTCCTACTGGTCGATCGCCAGAAAGACATCGAAGCACCTCCGGTCGCCGAAGCGATCCGCCATCTCGCCGTAGCCGAGAGCACTTGCCTTCTTCTAAGCTCAACCGCAGTTGGCCTGACATAGCGTCGGAAGACTCGGAGGCTTCGGACTCAGAAGAAGACCGCCGCCGCCGATTCAAAGCCCGAGAACGTAAAGAACTGGAGGAAAGAGAGCAACGAGAGAGGGAGAGAGCCAGAGAGAGAGATCGCGGTCGAGACCGAGATCGTAGACGCGAAAGAGAAAGAGAGAGAGACCGTGAAAGGGTCCCGGAACGCGAGCGTGACCGCGTCGTGAACTGGGAGAGAGAAGAAGATATGGAGGCTCGTAAGCGAAGAGAACGACCGGTCGTACGGCCCGAAGCGACACGCCGAACGAGTAGTCATGCCGACGTGGATCGCATGCGAGGAAGGCCCGAGCCCCCATGGGACCCTCGGGATCCCCGCGATCGGGAACTGAGAGACGATAGAGATAGAAAGCGGTGGAGAGAACGCGGGGAAAGCCCGGTCATCTCTGGCGTCGGGGGACGACAATACCCAGCTCCGCCGATTCGGAACTAATCCCATCATGAGGCGTACTGAGTTTAGCGGGTTGTTTTGAGCGACTTGAGGAGATTTGGATTTTGGCTGGGTAATTTAACTTGGGATATAACGGCATTTTCGCTTCCACGTATGTATAACTTGTTCCTCTGCAGACTGAAAGTCGGAAGAGTGCACACAGGGCAATGAGACATGAAATCACTACATCGTTTGAGATTTGCAACAGCCTCTTGGTCATCAATACAGGTGACAGCTTAGGTACACATACAAGACGCCTAGACCATTCTGGCGGTTGTTTTTATTGCCTTTCCCAATGCCATCATTTCATCATAACTCTCCTCATCCCCAAGAAACCTTGGTGTCTTCCGTCAGAGTTCTCCAAGTCGGATACCTTTCAGTTCCAATCATCGATAATCGCGGCGGCGCGGCGGGGGATTCCACTCATATACTTGAGCTTGGAGGTCCACTCAACCCCAGTGGGAGGCCAGGTAGGCTCCGGGACGTAGTCTCCATCATCATCCTCATCGGCATCGGGCATATCCGAGTCTTCGCTGTCGTAATCAGACTCATCTTCAGCTTCCTCAACTTCAGTCTCCTCGTCTTCAGTCTCTCCACCCTCTCCCATGTTGCGATCAGAGTTCTCGGGAGGCGTGTTCCACGAGAGATCCGCATAGAGAGCGCCATTGCGCTGCACCAGGCGCGGAATCGTAGACATCATGTGACCGTGGTCCGAATCGCTGTTGCTGCTCTTGGGGACGACACTGTCATCTCCCTGGTCGGAATCCAGGCTCGACGACGAAGGATGAACATCACCCGTATCCGACGACTCGTTGCTCTCGGAGACGTCGCCTTCATTGTCATTGTTGAAGTACGGACTCAAGCTCATCGGCGAAGGATACATGTCACCCGGGTCCGTATAGCTGCTGCTGTCGGAGACGTCATTGTCATCGCCGCAGTCGGAGCTCATGAACTCGTCGCTCAAGTCGAAGGGCGCCTTCTTCTTCTCGTTTGCGCGGGCGAAGGCGCGGAACTCCTTCTCAAGACGCTCGCGTCGAATGCGGCGGGCGATGGCGTTGTCGTTCTCGTCGTCGTCGGTCCAGTCTGACCAGCCGGCGAGGGGGGAGAGTTCGGGGCTCACTTTCTTGTCCTTGGGCTGTTCGTTCTTTCCCATTTGCTTCAGCTTCTGCTCGGGCTGAGACTCGGTCGGGGTCTCATTCTCAGGCTCCGACAACTTCTTCAGGAACGTGTCGAGGTCTTTGGTGAAGAACTGGAAGTCGCCCAGCTTGTGGCGGTCCTCGGGCTTCGTGGGAGTGATCTCCGTGCCGGTGCCGGTGAAAGTGAAGGGATCCTCGATGGACATGCGGATTTCCTCCGAGTCTTGGGTTCCTCCATTAGCTTGGCGGCGGCGGCGGTCTTGACGGCGGGCGACGCGGGTGTGGTAGGGGCACGTCTCGCCGTTGCGGGTGACGATGCCGGTTGTCTTCTGGCAGAGGGGCGAGGCCGGGCCGCGGACGCACTTGTCGTAAAAGAGGGCGTTGAGGACGCAGCCGCAGGCTGTGTAGTGCTTGTAGACGCGGCGACACATCTTGGTCTTTTGGTACGTAAGGTATGCTGCAGTACTTGTGTCAAGGGGCGAGGGGTGCCTGTTTGGTGAATCGAAACTCCTTTTTTTTGTTCTTCTTTTTTTTCTGTCTCTTGGTTTCGTCGGCCTTGTTTCGTACGCTGCTCCGTATCTTCTTTACAGAATTTTTCGTAGCTAGGCAATTTGTTTCGTTTTGCTGAAGTGAACAAAGTGAAGCTATCGTGAGCAAAGGCCGAGGTGAAGGCTAGCAAGATCTAGAAGCGGTGAGCTACTTCCCTTTCTAACAAACAAATATTGTTCCACACCTGGTATTGACTTACCTTGGATTTGGCAAAGCCTAGAACAAGACAAAAAAAAAAGGAGGGTAGAAGTGAATCACACTTTGTTGCTCTGCCCCTGGAGCAAGTTGGTTCAGCTTCGAGTTGGTGCTTGGATCACCACTGCTGCCCTTTTCTGAAGGTGAAGAGGAGAGTGGTGAAGTGGACAAGTAAAAGGGAGATCAAATTCGAGAGGTGGAAGGAAATAGGGCACAAAGTTGGATATGAGCCCTCTTTTGCGCTCGGAGAAGCTTCTTACGATCGGGGGACGCGGGTCCATTGTGACCAAGGGGGCGCTCAAAGGTTTGGAAGGTGGTATCGTAGTACGTCCGTGAGACGGGGTGAAGCAGAGTACTTCTACTCACTCTCTCATTAGGTATTACGTAGAAGAAGTATGATGTGAAAGATCTAAGACATATCCTCTCTAGGATCAAGGCTATACCCAAATCTCTAGAACTCTGATAACCATGGCCCAACTCTGGTGATGTCTAATATTCAACCTTCAAAGAGATTAAGTAAGTGAAAGGAGAGGCGATATCCAGCTCCCAAACTGGTAGAACCCATATAGAAAAAACTTCCAGCACCCCTTTCTTGGGGACCAAACCCATCTCAAGATCTCACCTTCTGCCCCCTTTCCAGATCCCCCCTTGGCTCTCCTCATCTTCCTTACTTGTGTCGTCGCTCGTGACCAGCCCTTGCTGCGTAACATGCTCCTGGTCCAAGCTGTACTTCTTTACCGTCACGCTGATGAGCATGCAAAACCCGCCAAACGCAATCAAGCTGATCCAAATCGCCCGTAGCGCATCGCAATACGCCTCCACCAGCTCCGTCCTCGTAGGGTCGCCCTTTGGCATCCGCTTAATCACCTCCACCACAATCGTCGCGTCACGCGAGTACTCCTCCGCAACATCCGCCAGCGAGGGGATATCGAGCAACCTATTCCGAAACGCATTCTGGAAAATGACGCCCGAGACGGCAACGCCAACGGATTGCCCAAAGGTGCGCAGGAACGAGTAAAAGGCGGCGGCTTGCCCGTTGAGGGCGGGTTCGCAGGCGGCTTGGATCGAGAGCGCCATGGCGGGGAAGAGCATGCCCGTGCCGATGCCGATGGGGATGTTGAGCCAGATCCAGGCGGGGACGGTGGTGCCGGGACGCATGAGGCACATGAGGCCTGCGCCGAGGGTCGTCAGGGCCCAGCCGGCCCACAAGGACCAGCGGTACCGGCCTGTGACGCCGGCGATGAGGCCGACCGCCATGGCGGATGGTGCGACTGTTAGACTTTCTGGGAGGGCGCCGACGGCGGAGATGACGACGGAGTAGTCCTTGACGGCTTGGTAGTAGAGGACTACGAGGTGTAAGTTAGCTGTGAAGGGTCTCCAAAGTGTTGAGGCTGCCAGGAGAAGGCTTACCAAGGAAGTAGAGAATCGACCAGAGAACCATGCCATGGAAGACAGTCATGATGTAGTTGGCGACCATGGTCCAGTTGCTAAAGATACCCTTGTCGATCATGGGCTCCTGCGCAAACTTAAGCTCCCAGATCCCAAAGGCCACAAGAACGAAGACACCCAGGATCATCGGCAGCAGACACCTGAAGGAAGTCCACTCGTACATGACACCGCCTGTCGAGATACCAAACAGGAAACTCGTCGAACCCGCCGTGAACAGGAAGCTACCGAGCCAGTCGACCCTCTTGAGCTTGGTGCCTATCTGGCCCGGCACTTTAGCTTGCTTGAGGAAAAAGAAAATCATGACCACGCCAATGGCAATGATGGGGAGGTTGATCCAGAATATCCACCGCCAGGAGATATTCTGCGCGAACCCAGCGCCGATCAGGGGCCCCGTGACGGTACCGACGGACCAGACGACCGACAGCAGGGAAAACCACTGGCCCCGCACCGCGAGCGGGACGAGGTCCGTGATGATGACCTCGGTGAGGGCGAGGATCCCGCCGCCGCCAACGCCCTGGATGGCCCGCCCCGCGATGACGACGTAGAAGTTGCTGGCAACGGCGCCGACGATGGAGCCCGCGGCGAAGAAGGCGGCCGAGACGTAGACGAGGGCCTTCCGCCCAAAAATGCTACTCAGCCCGGCGACAGTGGGCTGTAGGACGGCGCTCGCCAGGAGGAAACTCGTGCCGGACCAGAAGGCTTCGAGGGCGGTTCCGCCGAGGGCGAGGCTCATTGTTGGTAGAGCGACGGATAGGGTTGTTGCGTCAAAGGCGACGGCTAGTGCGACGGCGCAGAGGGCGCCGAAGGCGAGGAGGAACTCCCTTGAGGGTTTGAAGACGACTTTGCCATTTTGGTCGATTTGTGTGGTTTGTTTCTCCAGCACCACTGCTGGTGTTTCTGTTTGTGTTGTAGTCATTTATAGAAGGGTGATTGTGTTCAAGATTGGGGGTAAAGAGGGTCAAGACTGGATCTAATTTGTGTTCAACCAGTGGTATATTTCCTTGTTTTGAACTGTGATAGTAAGATGAGTCCTCTTCAACCATCTCGTGAATCAGTGACGGGCCTTTTTCATAGCCTTATATGGCATTCACTATGCCCAAGCCAAGGCTAAGTCGGTCACAAGAGACATTTCACCCAACAGGCCCGCTCCGTTGGTAAGCCTTACGCCGGTGCGGCTCAACCACCGTCGAGGGCACGTTGGCAGGGCGCCGTGAATGGCATCATGGGCGACCGAGTGCGAGCCGGTCGCCCTATCATTACAAAAGTCCTGATTCACCACCTACGGTACGCAAAGTCCCAGCAAGTCATAGTCCGCCGCCGACGAGCCAAGTCCGCAAGACACGAGGGTAGTCCGACTGGTTACGTACGACCGGATTAAGAACCGGCTTAGAGGAAATTGCGATGTTTGCTTGCGCAAGTTTTCTTCGTCTAGACGTGCTATTGGGGTGCACCGGGTTGAGTCGGCCGAAATGTTATGCCGAAGGGAGCGGGAGGCTGACCGGCATAACGTTCGGGGCGTTGTGGGGCCTAACCCGGCCGAAGGATTCGGTGCACTGGCCAGCACCTTAAGGTCATGGTGCTCATATGTTCTTTTCCCATACGGGTACATTAGTAAACGATTGAGAAGGGACAGAAGAGTCTTGAGGTAATGGACGAGATAAGATCTGCGAATGATCAGCGGAGTTGCGCCATTGAAAGTGATTCCGATCCACTGCTTCCAACATCCCAAGCAACATTTGAGGTGGCGCGTCGGATGCTCTCGTAACTTGTAAGTCAGACTTGCTCAATCGTCTTCGCATCCGGCCCCACCCGAGTCTTATCCGCAACATCTCGTGAGTTCTTCGTGTCGGTCTTTTGGGCGAAGAAGAGCTCGGGTGGTGCTGATTTACCTCCTGATCTTCTGCGCCCAGGCGACTTTGAGGCGTGTACACGTCCGGCTTGTGGCCGGCTATCTCCGAACCAGCACGGTCATGAAAGATGATTGGTCTGCCAGATCAGAAATCGGGATTTGCATCAAGCTGTCCCAGCTCGGGCTTTTCAGGAACAAGAAGAATTCACCGAGTAGCCGAAAGTTGAAAAATTCACCAAACAAGATGGGTTCCTCTCACAAATGATGGCCGATGTAGTGACTGGGCGACAGATGCCGCGCTTGCACAAGTGACACCGAGACAGCAGTTCTCGAAGCTTCAACAATGACATGAGCGCTCAAAGCTCGTTTTCGGAGATCGGAATTGGTCGACAATGTCAAGGCTCGCTTGTCCGGAAAGTCAATGGGATCACCCTGCCAGCCAGGCAGCCGTTTACCCGAAAGACTGGGATAGTGAGCGCCCGCTGTGAAAGTTGCCCAAATCCCGAACGGCTTGTCCTGACTGGCTGTGTGTTCTCGACAGCCTTGGAACCTGATGGGCAACGCTCCTCTAACACAAGCCGGGTAACGACGAAAGCGATGGTATATCTTCATCGTGCCAAGCAGGCGAGTGATGTTCGTTCGGAAGAGAAGACAGGTCGCTAGCCTCATTGCCGTAGATTTGATTTGTTGACGAACTGGCATATTTCCCCAGAGCTCTTTTTGAGCCGCCTTGGTTGTTGTTGTTGTTGTTGTTGTATTTTAACGCCCTTGCGGCAGACCTCCCGAAGGGTATATGGCGTGGAGGGCCGTAGGCCTATAGCTATCACTAGATACAGTCCAGCTCGTCCTCCAAATCGTGCCCAAAGGCAACTATGTGTTTAACCTGTCTCTGGGTGCCGCTGGCTTGCCCGAGACAGTGCTATGGTCGTCCCTAGAACGCAATTCCGCCAGTATCTCCTATCCTTCGACCCAGAGCCCGCAGGCTTCTGGTTTACACAAAGTTCCAGTAACCGTCCGGAGTATATCGTAATAGGTAATACCGCCACAAGGGAAACCACAAGGGGCAAAACCTCGTAAGACTAGGTTGTAGGGCTTGCTGTTAGGTTCTGTAACGAGCATAGCTGTATATAGCCGTGGCTATACATCGCTACCCAATGGTCGTTTCGTGTCTTCGAGGGAGTCTTCGATCGTTTAAGGGGCAAAGGTGCTGAGAGAGCGAAGTCGAAAAGTCGGTCGGTGATGTTCAACTTGGGCCCGGAAGCGCCACTTGCGCCGGGAAAGAAAGTCGCCCGTCTCCTTCGGGAGGCTAGATGGAACCTCTGCTCCCTGCCCTACCAGGAAGACTTCGTCTAGCCTGCGGAAGGCGAATTCGAGTCGACGGCGGCTCGTTAGGTTGAATAATCGTCGGCTCGATTCGAGGGGAAAATGTGCGTTGTTAAGGGTTTGATTAGCGTATAGCTAATCCACCCCAGCGCGCAGCGGCAGACCGCGGGGACTGGGGCCCCTCCTTAGCATGGCACTAACAGCCCGTGCCAAGCTGGAGAGATGTTTTGTGGAGGTTGAGCCGCCTTGGTTATCCTAGTAGGATCGTCCGATTTATGGGGGAAAGTATAATCAAAGGTAAATTGCCGAGAGCCACAGAGGCAACAGAGGGCAAAAACTAAGTGTCAAACTTGTCAGAGAGAAAGTTGTCTGGGCGAAATTCTCCGCGCATCCCAGCGGCGTTTTGGCAAGTCAAGTCAAATGGGCAACTCCCGAAGTTTTGACACAAGGAAGACCCAGCCACGCCCTCGAATATCAATTTCTGAGAGCGCAATCACATTCCATGGGAGCTCACTCTGCGCTTATTTTGACAAGCTTCATACTAGGCGAAGAAACTGCGCAATTCTGAACTGAGATGCTCGGTTTCCTTCGTAACCCATCGACGCGGTTTTTCAGTTGGAAATATGCGTCGAAAGGTCGGTTCGACAGGATCCGGAGAAGGCTGCCATGGACCCCTAAGCCCGGGAATTCCTGGTAAACTTGCGCATCCTCGTAAACATCGATGACCCTGACAGATTGACAACGACAGCTGAAAGAAGGACTTGAGCATCAGAGGCCTTGAACCCCGCCGGCGGGTCGTTCGTTTGCGGGTTTCTCGGAACGAATTTGATAGATGTCTTGGCGCCGTGTTCCTGTCGATATGTAGACTTTGAGACTACAGCTGTCTAGACTGGCGGATCACAGCCGCACTCAAGGCCCATATTGCAATGCAGCTAGAAGGCTTTGACGGTGCTTGCAGACCGGGCCTCATCCCATTCAGGGTTTCGATAGTGTGTCCGCCAACTTGATCACATTATCCAATTCCTCGCTACACTTGGTTGATGAAAAAAAGAGCGCATTGAAGATCCGCCAAAGTCGCCCTCGGACCCTCAGGTAAGAAACCAATAGCGTATAGATGTCAAACGGCGTAGACAGGTTGACAGCCCCGAATACGGAATACGGGATAAAGAGAGTTGCCGCATCAGTGCATATTTTGATGCATGTCAGTCTGTGAGACTATCCAAGTGCACCGTCAGGCTGGTGACCATTGAAATGGATGAAATGGATGAAATGGATGAAAGGTGACAGTTCGTTGAAGTCAGAAATAAGCTCGCCGCTTCCCCGACGTTGAAGTGGAGAACTGGTAGATCATCGTGGAGGTCCACTAAAGCTGAGAGAACGTCAAATGGATCGTCCTCGCTTCCACTAGTGCCACTTATATAAGCAAGCTGGTCGGTCATGTACTCCGTACATATACCTCAGTGGATCTCGACTGGGAACTTCAACATCCGTCCATACTTGCCCAAGACAATCAAAACGCAACACCAGTGTCACATCCCTCACGACTCTTGATAGACTAAGAGAAATCTCTTTCGGGCATCGCCGTAATCGATTTTGCCAGACCAAGTCGACGTATTAGTGTGGATCGAGTGAACGCGTCGACGTTCTGTTAGGGCGCTGCTCAGACTGGACAATGATCACCACGCAAGATGCCGAACGGGTTTCTGTGTCATTCGACGGACTTCAATAATTGGGTTGGAGCCCGTTTCCATCACTAGATTCACTTCTGGAATTTCCCGTAAAGGCCGACACCCACGACCGAATTTCCTCTTTGGGAGGTCCACGATCGGATGAAACGATCCCATCAGCCACGATGACGAATGGATCTGCCGTTACTTCAACCTGCTTCCATTCTCGAGCCGGGGTCGGAGCCGGAGCCGAGTGCAGTATGCCAGAGCAAGAACCCTTGCATCATGGTCAGCGGTAGTCGATACCAGCGGCGGCGCGTCATGGCGATCAGACTCTGCCGACTTCTTGGTATGAACCATTTACGTTTGATTGTTTAGATTGACAGTACTCTCAACGGCTTTCTAGTGGCCCGTCACGCAAACCTTTCGCACGGCAGTTGGTGAAAGTGTCCTACAAGGCCACCACCACGATGCAGCGCACATACGCACACGCAGTCCCTGACACCTGTCTGAGGTGCCATCCATCGACCGGCTTGCCGAAGAGCCGGGTTCTTCCCTACATGATCAACACAAGGACCCCAGCCGTTGTTACCCTCTCACGGTACATTTCGTTTGCCGTCTCAAACAATGTACGCACGAGCGGATGGGGCCACCCTTGATCACCATCATCGACGAATCGTCAGGGCTTAGCAGTGCATGAAACAAACCTTCCGAAAGACCAGACAGCATAGGCTACAAGCTGCCCAATGTTAAGACTACCGAGATCGTCCTCCACCAACGGCGCGGTACCGTTTGATCATTTCGAACTCTTGTTATTCGCCAGCGCGTCGAGTTGCTGCCACAGAGTTTCGTAGAGCGTCCCATCGGTGATCCAGCCCTTCCGCTGTTCTTTTTCCGAGCAGGCATACAGCATGTTGACTCAGCCTTAGAGGACCCGTATTCAATGAAGGAAATGTGGTTCTTCGCTATGACATAGGAGCTTCTACCCCTCTATCCCGCTCACTTTCTCTGTTGTCTTCTCTCGTATGTGACTCTACAATCGGCCTCGGGAACTTATGCTTTTGTTCCGAAAACTTGTGAAAAAGAGCTTGACCCCTCACAGCCCCCCTTCGGAACGACCTCCTACGCCTTGTTCTACAAACCTGCTTTGCAGTGCCAACACTGCCCAATACGATTATGGTGAACACGGGAAAGCCTTCGGGCGGCTGCAAGCTGTGTAGAGCCAGGAGGATCAAGTGCGATGAGGGGAAGCCGTTCTGCATGAGGTGCAAGAAGTCGCGGCGGCAATGTCCAGGTTACCGAGATCCGTTCGAGGCCAACATTCGCGACGAAACGCAAGCGACCATCAAGAGGTTCAAAAAGTCGAGAGGCGAGGAGAGTTCCGACGAGGAAGGCAAAGACATTGCGCCCGTTTGCAACAAGCAGTGCTTGAAGACGGTTGCTGGTCCGAAATACAAAACGTTCGATTACTCGAATCCCGCCGCTTTCCCTTACTACAATGACGACGATACAACCGAAGAAGACGAAGACATTCCAGCGTCTATGTTCAATTCGCTGGATGAGCAGGCCTCTTGCTACTTCCTTTCGGAATTCATCATTGTCCCGTTTACGCCCACGGCCCGAGGGTACTACCGCTTCCTTCCTCGGTTCCTCAGCGGAACGAACGTCTCCAAATGTCTCTCTCAGGCTTACAAGGCTGTCTCTCTGGCTGCATTGGCCGGCCGGCGTACGGTCAATGCCAGTGCTGCTCTGTTTCACGCACAAGGTCACTATCTACGGGCGGTTCGGGCCGTCAACAAAGCTATAATGGACCCTGGAGAGGTGCTCAATGACCAAACTCTAGGGGCCGTCCTGATGTTGGCCTTCTACGAGGTAAGTCTGTTGATCTGAACTTTTGAGAACTACGAGCTAACAAGTGACAGATTTTAACATCTTCTCGAGACTCTATCGCCGAGTACACGAACCACATGAAAGGTGCGGCAATCATTGTCAAACTCCGGGGCCAAAAGGGACTCGAGACACCGGAAGGCGAAGAGATGTTTGCAATTACCCGAAACCAGTGCCTCTCTATTCACTGTCTCCCAAACTCCCCTGAGGTGTCCGAATTCACATGGCTTCTGCACCACGAATGCCGGGGTCGGATGCAGCATGCTATTGCTAGCATGGACATCCAGAGCAGTCAGATTCGGCAAGACGTCGATCGAGTTCTCGGAGCGGGGGACCGCAATCCGGAGACAATCCAGAAGGTTCTCGATGCTCTCAAGCGTGCTCAGGCGTTGGAGGCCAAATTTCGCAAACTCAACAACGAACCAAGCCCGCAGTGGAAAGTCGATACCGTGGAGTGGATACTGGAGCGATCCGACGACGAACTCGATACGACGTACACTTTCCCAGGGCCTGTGTACGGATTCTTCAACTTGCCTCTCGCAATCTTGCACGTCGCCACCTGGTGCTGCCATCTGATGCTCACCACGACCATTCTGCGGTGCATGGCCTGGCTTGTGTCTCCCGACGACTACCGGATGGGCGAGGAGTATGAAGAGCTGAAACGCTCGGCTATCCTGCGAATCGAAGATACCATCGCTTCGACCCCTTTCTTTTGCAGGTGGAATGGCTACGGCGTGGTTATGGCTCAGTTCCCATGCGGCAACACCAAGCCAGATGACCCTTTGAAGGGTGCTGCTGGACTGATGGTCTTGTGGCCCATGGTCACGGCCTGCAGCAGCGACTTTGCGACTCCCAGACAGAGAAGGTTCTTGAGGGGTCGTCTTAAATATCTGGCAGAGGTTGCTGGTATTAGGCAAGCCAACGTCTTCTACAACGTAAGTAGTAGATCATGTCTCGACGGCGATGACGAATGCTAAAACTTGACAGATGCACGATATATCTTCTCCATCCCGAGAGATCGAGCGAGACCGCAGATCCGGAGTCCATTCATCTTCTGGGGCGGACGCTTTGCTTGGTATGCCCTTCTGATCACACACATACATACAGACGAGATGAAACGGTCATTTCCTTCCTCCAGCGAGACGAGACCAAGCGACTGTTTCCATCTTTCCATCTCCTTCGTTCGATTCACATACTTTTGCAGCGCCAGCGTCAGCGACTTACACAATTTTCTTGGACTTCAAACTGTACAGAACTTCTTTCACGTTTCTACATACGACTGTTACGGCCAAAGTTGCATTTGGTACGGTGTACATCATCCGAGAGGCGGCCTCTGGAGGCTCCGTCTCCCGCGCGGTGTTGGTTTTCCAAAAGACAGATGTTGTTTTCTCTCTCGGTTCTGGGTTAAGGGGAGATTTCTTTCAAATTATCAAGCGCTCGTTTATATCTTCATTTTGTTCATTATCTTTCAACTGCAAGCGAGAAGCGTGGAATTTGTCTTGGTGTATTTCTTTTCGTCTTTCTTGAGCAAATTGATTTGAACGGGCTAGGTATGCTGGGAAAGGGTTGGTCTTAGATCACCGGGCACGACTTGACGATGATGCGCATGAGTTTGATGTAGGGGTTACTTTTTCTTACCATCCAGAAGACTGAGATCCCTCAGAAAATTACAGATGAACATATTTTGCCCGAGACGTATCCCGAGCGTGACGTTCCAAGTTCTCCATGATTCTAGTCCCAAATGAACGTCGCGGAAACCAACATGACAAACCACATGGAAAGGCGTGTCCGCGGAAAATAACATTCCAAAGCGCCAACCGTTCTCCTATCCAACAACGATGAAATGTACCGTATGTCACCAATCCTCGGCGATATCCTTTCATAAGTCTCTACCTCCCACGCCGCCCAACACCGATCCTCTCCTCCCTCGTCCGTCCCCCACGGCCCCCATCCCCCGGCGTAGGTGTAGTCTGCACCCCGCTGCCGCCGCGCCCTCCCTGGCCCCTCTGCGCCCTCATCATCTCCTGCTGCCTCCGAAGCAGCTCCCGCTGCTGCACCTCGTCGTACTCCAAGCTCTCGTCCACATCCACGTCCGCCGTGAGCATACTTTCGTCGTCTAGGCCCTGTCGCTGCTGCTGCTGCTGCTGCTGCTGCATCTGTTGCTGTTGCTGGAGGCGTTGCATCTGTTGCAGCTGGTGGATCTGGGCTTGCGTGTACCTCTGCTGCTGGGGATGCTGCGGCGACGATTGCTGTTGCGGTACGGGTGAGGAGAAGGGGTGCTGCTGCTGTTGCGCGGCCAGGACGGCTTGGTGTCGCTGTTGCTGTTGCTGCTGGGCTTGTTGCTGGGCCTGGACGAGGACCTGCCGTTCTCGGACGATGGCTTCGCGGGCACGGCGGTCTTCGTAGGAGGCGATGTCCTCTGCCGTTATGGCGAGGGTTGTTGCGGGGCGGCGGAGCATAGTTTGTGTGTGTGTGTGTGTAAGATGGGGCCGGTGTTTTTCTGCTGCTGTTCTGCGCGGCCTTTCTTTGTGTGCGTGTGGCGGTAGGTGTTGACCGGTGATGCGCGAAGCGGGGGGATCAAAGGGGCGAGTAAGTGAGTGAGTGAGTGAGTGACAGGCACCCTGTTTGAGTTGGGTGCGGGATTGTGGGGGCGGGAGGTGATTTAGGGTGATTTAGGGTGTGTGTGTGTGATGGGATGTGATGGGATAAGGTAAGATGTGATGAGTGATGTGATGCCGGTGGATGATGGAGCTGTAGCCTAGCGGGAGGAGGGGTGTCTGCCTCGATCCTTTCTTCGGAATGAAGGGTAGTAGATTGACGTCCCGGGGTTGAGATTTCGGGAGCGTTGTATTCGGGAGGAATGACAGTTCGTAAGAGGCGATGGTTGATAGCCTAGAGTCGTGGAGTGTAATGAGTGATGGAGTGAGCGTCGGATGAGTCCGTCAGGGTGAGTTCGCGGCACAGGGTACAGCTGAAAGACGACGACAGGCCTGAATAGTGCAGCACGAGGCGGGATTTCTGCAACGGGATGCGATGCGATGCTATGCAAGGTACGGAGTACGTAAACTCGGTGAACGGTTTGTGGGGGTGGTCTCTCTGGCCGAAAATATCGTGGGTCGTCTGGAAAGAGGCTGGAGCTGATATGCAAGTTGAGAGTCGTTGCGCTTTTTGGTTGTCCCTTTTCCGTTAAGGTTCAGCGCGACCCTGGCGGGACAGGCGACGGCGCACGCGAGAAAAAAAAAGAAAAAAAAAAACATCCATGGATGGTGCGGGCGGATCAAGCCGGGGCGATCCGTGGTGGTGGTGGGGGATGCGTGGGTGTCTGCCATGGGGGCCGGCGTTCGCTGCGGCGTTCGCTGCGGCGAGGGAGGGTCCACTATCCGGCTCAGGGCGGGGGCCCGTGTTGGAAGCTGCACCTATGAGGGGTGGGAGAGCGGCGGCACTGTAACTGCATGCAAGTCAGCCCTAGAGGATCCGAAATACCCATCTCGTTGCGACGTTGCGATGTTGGACTGTTGGTGCCTGTTTGACAGAAGTCCGCTCCGCTGGTTTGGCTAGGCAGAAGGACGTGTCGAACTTCGTGGGATACAGACAGTATCAGAGGGAGATAGAGAGAAAGAGTTGACGCGCCATCTGAGTTGATTGTAACATTACAATACTAGATACCTAGGTAGTTATTCAATTTTTATTTTAATCATAAATCCACGCGAGCCAATACCGCTCAGTAAACGCCCGTAGCATAGACATTCTCCGCCTCCCATCGCAGGAAGTCCCCGAGGTCGTGTCCCAGATTATACCCCATAGGCACCACCTCGGGCTCCCCATCAGAGCCCCTCATCATGACTAGATCCATCATCGGACTAGGCGGCAGGCTCCCGATGCTCTCGCGGTTCTGCCGCTTTGGGTGCTGCTGCTGCCCCTCCATCGTCCACCGTCGAATGTTGCACCCTTGTGTCAAAAACTTGGACACGTTGACGTTGCCTTCGTTCCAGAACCCAGTGGGGTGCTCGGCCTTCACGGGGATGGGCAGGTCGCTGTCCCGTGGCGCGACTCTGCCAAAGGACCTTGGCGAGCAATCTAGAGTAGACGCGCGGGACCTAAGCTGCAGCCGGCTCGTCGACTCATCGGCGTCGCTGGTGAGCAGGCGGCCGTGGCTGTCGAAGCCGAAGTCGTCGAACCACGCTGCCAGGTCGGCGGTCTCTTCGGCCTCTGTCCTCTGTGAAAAGTCCGCGGGATCTGAGAAGAGGTCGCCCGCGCCACCGAGGATGGCCATCTGAAAGGCCGTCCAGTCTAGCGTGTCATCGGGGTCGATTTTCAGCCCCTTGACCACTTCTGACTTGGGAAAGCGTATGTTGCCATGTTTGAACGCAGAGTGATTGAAGGTGAACGGCGTTGATTGGAAAAAGATAAAGTCGTCTTCATCCACGGGCGCGAAAGTTCGTGGAGTCCTGTTGCTGTGCTTTGTCGAATGTCCTCCCACGTCGGGTGTGGTGACGACGACTTCGGGAATCGTTGGTAACAGCGGCGCCTGCGGTCTAGGCAGAAACCTTGCCGGGTTCTTTGCTGGTGGAGGAGGAACGACTTGCGTCGGATCCTCCGCCTCGTACTCATCCTTGGTAACAGGCTTCTTCCTCCGCGGCGACTTTTCTCTAAAGGGCAAGTCTCGTAGTATACTTGGGTCGAGAAGCTCGGGTGGAGTCATGGCTTCAGAAGGTGTCACGGAGGTCTTTGCCCCGGCTGCTCCAATCCGAGAAAGGAGGTCTTGGAGGTGAAAAGGCTCAACCGGCGTCTCGCTTCCATCGGTGCTAACAGTCCTTAGAGTATCGCTTGATCGGCGCGGTTGTCCTTGAGACTCCCTCTCCATTCGTAGCGCATGGAGGCGGTCTGGTGTAAGAAGCTCATCGACTTCTACTTTACGGAAGAATTGTCCGGTGAGGATGTCGGCTACATCCTCTCCCAGTTGCCACCGGGCAGACTTCTTGCATCTCATCTTGACCCGTTTGGACTTCTTTGACTTTTTTCTTCTGGGCTTTGAGGCAGATGATACCGAAGTGCTCGATGATGGAGGTGGCAGCGCTGGTGTGCTGTTTCGAGATTGTAGCCTCAAGAGTGGAAGGCTTGGTGAGTCGGGCTTCGCCATGTTAGGAGGGGGTGTTGGTGACGAAGACGCGGACCCGGTCTTGATATGTGACGGAAAAGTCGACACGGCCATCTTCGCCTCTTCGATGGCTGTTCCTACGGCCTTGAAGGCTTCGTCGGTTTCTCGGATGAGCTCCTGAACGTTGAGGGACCAGCGGTCCAAACCGTCGTCTTCTGGGGTAGGTGGAGGGGTCATGGTCTCTCTTAGTGCGGGATGTTCTGATAGTTCTATGTCGCCAGCTTCTTGAGCCTTGATGTCCGCTTCTGTCGACATCGGTCTGGGCTTTCTGCTAGGAGGTGGTGATAGAGGAGAGATGCAGAGGTGTCGACGCTCCGCGAGACGTTTCGGGGCCGTTGATCGAGAGGGCCTCTCTTGGAGTCGACGGGAACAAAGAGTGCCATAGCTGGTGTTGGTCGAGGCGGTGTCTGTATGACACTCGCAACTGCACAAAGAACTCGACGACGAATGTGGTGATCCCTGTGGGCAAGATGGGCTTTCTGCTGGTATCCTCTTGATGCTTTGTGTCCTTCGTACGAGGGTCTCCTCCCTCGAGGGTCTTCTGGGCTTAGGATTGGATGGGCGTCTGGCCGGCGCCCAAGACTTTGATTTTTGTTGTTTCCTTCGAGACTTGAACAGTGAAATATCCTCGCTTCCAACAGAGTCTCCGGAACGACGGCGCTCATCTATCGTCTGAGAGCGGCGAGGTGAGATGAGCCTCCGTATGCTGAAGCTCGACCGAGACATCCTGTCGAAGACTTGGGCGTACAAAGGGGATTCATGCAGCAGTTCAAGGACAGTATGGGTTCACCACGTCTAGTACATGCCATATATGAAAATACGAAGGGGAGGGGAGGAATATCTTGCAGTGCTTAGCGAGTGACGTGACTGGGAAGGAGATCCATGACCGGGGGAACGAGCCCAAGGACAAAGGGGAAAGGAGTAATGGATGCCATCTGGAGACATGGGCAGAGGCCGAGGGCTGGCTTGTATGTATGTTGTTCTGGATCTGCGTGTAGGACAAACAAAAGCAAGCGAGTCGGGGCTATCTTGGACCAGCTGATGATTGTGCCCGTACCAATACAGTACCTATCATGGTCGGATTGGGGCTGTTAGTCAGGGAGACTATCAGCTTGGATGGGCAGATCTACTTACCCATGGACAATGACAGGTGGAGGGTGGTAATGGAAGTGGTCGTGTGTGTGTGTGTGTGTGTGTGTGTGTGTGTGTGTGTGTGGTGCGTTGCGGTGCTGTGTATGCATGTTGCGGCGGTGCAAAAAGCCAAACTGGCCCCTGTCTGGTCGTGCAGGCAAACTGCGTGAGAGCGGAGGCTGCAGAGTCGTGTCTTGTCAGTCCGGCCGGGGGTTGCTCGCTGCCCGGCTCCCGTTATTTTGGTATTCAGCCATTGGCTGTGTCTGTCGGTTGCTATTACTGGCCTTTGTGCCTTTCAAAAGTACAATTCTTCTCGAGGGGGGATACTTCTCCGGAGGGATCTTGGGGTGGTAGGCGGTCCCAAAGGGAGGGTGGCATCGCGCATCTGTTCATCGCCGGCCCTTCCAGCATGGGAGATGTGATTGTTGCGAACAGATGAATCCATATTGCTTTGCTGTTATGTTTGGAACACCTTGTCGCCCTCTACAATCTTGTCTTCCATGTTTCTCCCCCCAATTCCCTCAAGCATCGTGCAGTCAGCCTTATGAAGTGATCAAATTGACAGCGAAGCCATCGAGACAATATGGAACATCGTGGCCGGCGCAGAGCGCGGGATTCGGCAGGATTCGCTCCATCTTACTATTGGAGCTGGCCGGCGTACTAAACGACAAACCATCGGTCAGCTGCATTCTAGAGCGAGATGCAACTCGATAAAAGTCCTCGCCGTACGACGACGCGGGCGGCGACGTGCAGAGAGGAGCAACCAGTTGGATCTAATCCGGCCCGTCACCCTGGCACCGACCTGCCAGCCACGACTGAGGGTTTTGCGAGAGCTCCAAAGCAGGAGAAATCGCAAGCTGTTCAGCGTCCTGACAAAGAAGACGGCTGGTGCCCAGAGAGCACGACATATTGCCAGCGGAAAACGTCGAAACGGTGACAGCTCGCTCCCAGGGGAGAGCCATGGAACCGGGCCGTGCCCTGCTCGCCTGGGGGAGCTGGAGCTGGGATTGACTGGCGATGCCGCGATCTCGAGAACGAAAAGCCGGCGGTTGCCAACGAACTGCTGACCGACGACGATCTTCCAAATGGGGATTCTCAAGTGCCGAGTCTCACCTCACTCTCACCGAGCGGTAAGCACTTGCTTGACCGCAGTTGAGACAGCAGCAACTCGCTGCTTCCAATGGGTGACTATTCCCGTATCTTCTAGGTTGGTGCGGGCAGCGCCAGCCCTCGAGAACAAGCTGCCGGAAATCGGTCCCTCATTGAGAGGCCCTGAACCCGAGCAATCCAGACAGGAAACTGACGGGGCGAGGCAATCCCCAGGCTTGCCAGTGTCAATCATTCGGCATTACCCGCATCCACCGGACGCAGGTCGAGGAGATGCAGAGCCTCTAGTACCAAACGAGGGGTAGGACGCGAATCGATACTGCCGGGGGATACGACTCGGAACTTGGAAAAAAGGAGACATTGGCCCCCGGACCACGTTCTCCTGCGTATTCCCGCTGACGCAATGTGGGAATGGATGAGTACTGAGAGGGGCTTGTTTCAGAAACAGCATGCGTTCGAAGGACAGGTGGAGAATCTTCACCCATCACAGGCTGAGATGGGGATATGTGGATGTCCTCGAGTCTGCGCTCTGCATAGTCTTCCCTTCACCGTTTGTTAGTCAGACAAGCCAAGCGGGCGTGACCAAGCTGACGAAGGGGGCCGGAAGACTGCTTCTCGTAGTCTTTCCCTCCTTCCCCTTCCCCGGCGGCCGTAAACGGGCAAGCAGAATATCGACCGGTGACGTCCATCGTACATGATGTACCGCTGTTGGTTGGCCGGCTCGTCGGCCAAGGCGGTGATAAAGAAGCAAAGGGTTCGTGTTCGATACCGCCCGCCCAGTGCCCAGCAGCTGATGTGTGGTGGCTAAGTTGCGTGGTTGCGAAGGTTCAGATGCGTTGCGGATAAGTTGGGCATGGGCTGTTAGCGGCCGCTCTTAAGGTAAGGTGCCCCCACAGTTGCCCGCCAGCTGACATCTAAACTGAGTTGAACTTGCCAGGGCGCCCTGCTCTCTCTCTCTCTTTCTGGATCTTGACATGCTGGTAAACACCAACACAAAGTCACAAGCACAGACAGAGACAGAGGCACAGAGACACCATTAACCTTCCTGGCCCTTGCAGGATTCCCATATTTGTGCCCTGAACTAGCAAGTCGGTTTGGGGGCCCGTAAAGGTTGCGGAGGGCTGTCACCGTTGGTCTTGAATCCCCAACATCCTCGTTGGAAACTCGACTGTTGTGAGAAGAATCAGGCGAGCCTACTGCCCATTTTCCACTCTCGCCAACCAACCAGCACCACGGCTTCAAACAAAGAAAACGTTTGCTCTTTTCTTCTACCGATTTCAAGGCCACTGAACAACCCATGTCTCGTCTCGATCTCTGCTATTTCCCCTCTCAGTCCCACCTGACGCGATTCCCGCACAATTCCAGCCCTCGACGACTCTGCCTAGTCAATTATTCACTTTTGACTTCGCTTCTTGGGAAAAGGCCTTGATTGGCCATGCCGACGAGGCCGTTGAGAGTCAGGAACCGAGTAATACACCTAAACTCTACCAGGCCACGGCCAAGACAAGACAGCCTTAGAAGGCTAGCCGTTCTATTTTCAACCTCACGAATGGCACCTTGGGCCAGCAGCTTCTGCAAAATCACCCCCCCCCCCTGTCCCTCTGAATCCCCCTGCCGCCCGCCCGCCCGCATTACATTGCCCCTCGAGGTTCGCTGTTCGGATTACAGCAACGAGCTGAGACATCGTGGTTCGTTCTCTCCAACTTTCTCGAGGCAGCCTTGCTTTTTTCCTTCTCGAGTCTTTTTTTCTATTTCATGTAGAAAAGCTGTCGGTCTCGGTGATTTACTGGCCCCATGTTCCACCCCTTTGGTGACCCCATATCTATTGTCTGCCGTCCGTCCGTATCTTCCATGGGTTTCCCTTGATCCTCACATCCTGTTCTGTCCAGTACGGTGCCCGCGGAGTGCCCCAGAGTCCGTACGGACGTAATCGCGCACAAAGCCCCAACTTGACATCAGTCGATTATGCTCGCAGTTCAGCAGCTCAGGACGCCCTCTAGTCTTTGGGTACCCTCCTAGGTCCGATCCTGCCGAGAAAAGGTCCGCAATAGAAGTAATAGAACAATTCTTAAGGGTGGGGACTCTATACGCACGTACAATATTACAGATCGACGCGCGCGAGGCACGACGAGGTCGGCAGCGGCGGGTAACAGGCCTGCTTTTCCCATTGCCAATTAAAGGTACGGTTCCAATTAGACCCTCGTCTTTTCGGCCGGTCAGCGTCGGATTCGCGAGCCGCTTCCAAGTCTGGCACTGAGTTGAATTATTGTAGACGGTGATATGTAAGCACGGGAAAGGGAGAGAGTCACATTGAAAGGTGTTGATGTCAAGGTATTGATATTAATCTGATTGGCTCAGGCTGCCGAGTCTAATCTTGCTATTAGTTGCGCGCGATGTTGCGTCGCCAGCATCCCATCCTTCTACTTCATCCCGATTCTGCGGCCCTTGGGTTGGCCTTTTTTTCTGGTAGGTGATGATTTCCTTGTACAAAAGAGAATATAGGCTCATTTCGTGAGCCTATTCCTGGACGTCTCCCAACCGCCCATAACTTCTATCCTTGCCAAGTGGCAAAAAGCGAGCAAGCGCCGTTGATTGATGACTGCATGGAAATGCGTCGATAATCAATTCGAAATAGGAACATATGAGTAAATAATGTTGTTTTGACTCAAGGGAAGAAGATGGTAGTCAGGTGGTGTAGTCTGCCATCTCAATGGACTCTTCTTTGGTCGTCATAGTCTGACTATTTGGTGCCTCTTGGAGCAGGCTGAGTCGAAGAATGGTGACTTTCCGGGTATCGAGTGTTGTAGTTTTTGGTGTTTTGTTTTTGAAATGATTGAGTATCAAAGCTGAGCTCTTCACATGATCTCGCTTTGCTTGCGAATCTCCTTGGAGGTAGTCGTCTTCATATACGACTTGGCCGCGTGGCGAGGCACATAAGCGGCCCGCTTCGGCTGGTCGCCCATGAGAGACTCCTGCTCCTCCATGGTGCCCATTGACGTTATAGAGGCCAAGGAGCCGCTTCGGCTGTTGGAACCAATGCGCGAGGACAAGGAGAAGGTGGCGGACCGAGGCGAGGACGGGGCCGATGACGAAGCAGTAGAGGAGGAAGAGGTGGAGGAGCGGCGGCCGGGCTTGAAGGCATCGAGCCAGGAACCGACGTGCTTCTTGGACCACATTGGGAATGAGTAATCGACAATTCCGAAGGATCCAGGGGTGTTCATTGAAGGTTTTGGGAGATAGTAGTCGACAAGGACTATTGTTTGAATGTTGATTGTTGGAAAGGCGTTGAGAGCGTTGCGATGCTGAGAAAGGAGATCGAGATGGATGGACGGGATGGACCACGAGGTTTTAAAGACACGAGAGCAAAGAGATGAGTCTGACTTTGTCGATGCTGGACAAAAGAGGAGCCACGCGGGACGTGAATCGAACTGTCAGATGGACACGATAGATCGGGAGCCGGATAGGATGTGGGATTTTCGAGAGGCGTTCAAAGGAAAGTCGAGAAAAAGCGCAGCAGGAAAAAATAAGATGGAGCTATAACCACCACAAGTTGAAGGATAGGATACTTTAGTTCAGGACCGGTTCGCGATGGTACGTCCGCAAATCGTAGAGGCGGAGCAGGATGCTTCCGCAAGCGGACGAGAGATATATCTACCGGGTGGGAAGAGGAGAGCGGGGAGGGCGACGTGGGCAAAAAGTGGCCGCTGGCTGTCAACACACACACACACACACACACTGACAACGCCCATGATGGGCTCAGGAACGACAAAGATTCCAGCCAATATGCCCACGCATACCCTCCGCGCAGCCCGCGCAGCCTCTGCGCATACCTCAGCCCGACTGAGACATCAACAAGTCCGTCGCAACGCCCCGTCAACGCCCTTGCCGTTTGCGAACAAATTCCTCACGGCCACATTCCTGCCTCGGCCAGCCCATTGTGTAAGCCCCGGCCTGCTGGGAATCAGTCTTGTCAGTTCTCGCTGCCCAGCTCCACGGTGGCTTGACCAATGGCTGGAATGCTCCGCGAGGAATGGACGTCCACTGGACACCGAGCGCGTCATATTCTCTGAAGTGCCCATCACATCCACAGCTGTCCACAGGACAGGCCACCTGCTGCCTCTGCCGGAGTCAAGAGCCACAAAGCTCCCACGATCGATGCTGGAGGCACCAGGCCGGCGTGAAGACCGTGGGTCAACAGCCGAGCTGTCATTCTCAAGGGAGGCGCACACGGCGTATATGCGGACTGGGAGCCAAATTCTTCAAGGAAAGGCTAGCGCCGCACATTGTTCGCCCTAGCCTCGGGAATGCAGCACGGTCTATTGTCAAAGTTGACGCAAGCGGAAGGTATGCGAAAAGCCAGAGATAGCAACGGAAAACTCGAACTCGGTGCGATGCCGGTAGCCCTGAGGAAGTTCCATTATCATTCATCTGCGTACTAAGCTAAGGTAGATAGAGCACCATGTTGCCTTGTATTACTCATCCTCATCCTGTCCCTCTTCGTCCTCATCGTCCTCGTGCGTGATGAATGGCACAAACCGGAAGTCCAAAAAGCTGACTCCGCCGCCCTCTACCTCAACCATGAATTGCAAGCTCAGAACGCCCTGGGCGTCGCCGCGGAAGCTAATTTTGCTAGCGATCCTCATCGCCTCGCTCGAAGACTTAATCAGATCGAATTTGTAGGTCTGGGTCCATCGGTCCTGGATTGAAAAGGTCTCCAGTAGCTCGCGGCCTTTGGCGAAGTCCACGGTGGAAGACCCCAGGTCGCCGGCACCGGAAAGGGAAAGGTAGGGTTGGTTCTTCGAGGCCGATATGGTTAGGCGGCTGGGGCCGGTAGGTGCCAGCTCGGCCAAGGCGTCAAGAAGGTAGCGCGCCTGCATAATGATTTTGAAAGACAGGTTCTCCCGGTCAAAGGGTATCTCCTCTGGGATTTCCGGCAGATAGGTTGTGAGGCTGGCGGTAGTTTTGACCCCGCTTTCCTCAATGATAATGTTGAATTGGCCGCCCTCTTCGGTATATACCAGGCTGCAAGTCCCGCCAATCCCCAGAGTTTGGTTACTAAACGCATCTGGTCGGTAGTTGCGGAGATTGCTGCGGTACGGGTCTTGCTCGGCCTTTTGCGTGCGTGTTGCAACGTCCACTGCGCCGAAAATTTGAAGCGTCTCGAGAAGTGCTGGGAGAGTAATTTGAAAGTTGGGCAAGGGCTCGTCATCTGCAAGGTTCAGAGAGTACGACGTAAAGAGCTTCTTGTCGAGGAAGGCAGTACCTAGACGATGGTCAGTCATCCTGCCCACAACCAACATCGGTCGTCAAACTTGCCTTGCATGACCCTAGATAGATCCGCGGCGAACCTGATGCCATCTTCCTGGAGTTGAACATGGACCTTATTGGAGAAGCTGATGGTCCTCAGTAACTGATACAGCGGTCTCGTCGAGCTCGCCACAGCACGGAACAGCGGCTGCGGTACCGCACTGGGCTGGGGAAGAGCAGCTGCCATAACTTCTACTGATGCTGCAGATCTGTATATGTGGAAGGTCACCCGATATGGAGAGATTGGTGAAATGGAAGTTCTTGGTTGTTTCTAAAGTACAAGGTCGCCGCCGACTCGAAAAGCTTCTTGGGGTATCTTAGACGTAGACTCCGACCGCGCAGAACATGTAAACCGTGCCGAATCTAGAGTCATTATTAGTACAGGGCCTCGACTGGGGAACGGAGGCCGTCTGGCTTACGCAATTGCTGCTGAGGCAGGCACGCCAAGCGCTGGGATGTTGATGAAGGACCGGTCTGTATTGAAAATTAGGCGATGGATTTCGAATGGAGGTTTTCGAGTGGAGCTTACTAAAAGCAAAGAAACCAGTGATAGCAACACCAATGAGGAGAAGAAGGAACGCAATGAAGAATTGGGAATCCTTGGCGACGGCGGGTTGGAACGGCGTGCTAGCAGCAGCTTGCCAGACCTCAAGCAACGAGGAGTCCATCTGCTGATCGAGGAGAAGACAATTGATTGTTCTGTTATATCTGAGTCGTTTGCGTCGATGTCGCAAAAGGTGGTCCGGACCGTTGAACAAGGCTTGCACAGAATCGTGAATCTCCAGATGTATCCGGAAAGTGCTGTCAATGGAAGATCATGAAGCGCGGGTTGTAGCTTCCCCCAAACGTGTTCTGAGCTCCAAAGGGTCCCACCGTGAATTGTGGCCTGAACCAGAAAGGGCTTAGCTCTATCCCACTTTCCCCTTGTGCATCGACCCACTTGGCGCCATCCGGCAACGGAGAAACGGCAGAGCCTAGCGCGGCATGTCATCAACCGCCCAGGCACCACTTCGACATCATTCATCGACAAGGTTCATCGAAATAGGCCTGCGAAGGCTCGCGATCGAGGTCAAGATGAAGGAAGAGAGTAAGTCGCATGGCCGTTATTCATCATATGACTTCAGACACGGACTAACATCGCGCCGCAGCCACGAAGCGCAAGGCTGAGGAGGAGCCGTCCTCCCCGATCGCGAATAAACGGGTCAAGCACAATGAGTCGGCCGAACCAGAAAAGAAGCCGGCGATGAAGCCCATCCCCTTCCCTGAAAAGGTGAGTTCTACTCTCCAAAGCTGCGTCGCGACCATCGCGCAGTTGATGCTCGCTACGCGCTCTCCATGCGCGTCCTCCACTCGGACCCGCTGAAGCTGACCACGACTTGCGACAGCCCGCCGTCATCGAAGAGCGCACCGGCGAGATCGAGTTCCGGGTAGTCAACAACGATAACGAGCGCGAATCCCTCATCATCCTCACCGGTCTAAAATGCATTTTCCAAAAACAGCTCCCCAAGATGCCGAAAGACTACATCGCGCGACTCGTCTACGACCGGACCCACTTGTCCATCGCGATCGTCAAGAAGCCCCTCGAGGTCGTCGGCGGCATCACCTACCGTCCCTTCAAGGGCCGTCAGTTCGCCGAAATCGTCTTCTGCGCCATTAGTTCTGACCAGCAGGTTAAGGGATACGGAGCGCATCTCATGTCCCATTTAAAGGACTACGTCAAGGCAACGAGCGACGTAATGCACTTCCTCACGTACGCTGATAACTACGCCATCGGATACTTCAAGAAACAAGGTTTCACCAAAGAGATCACGCTAGATAAGAGTGTATGGATGGGATACATCAAGGATTACGAGGGCGGTACGATTATGCAGTGTTCAATGCTGCCCCGCATCAGATATCTCGAAATGGGTCGCATGCTCTTGAAGCAAAAGGAGTGCGTCCAGGCCAAGATTCGCGCCTACTCGAAATCGCACATCGTTCACGCTCCGCCAAAGGAATGGAAGTCTGGTGCAAAGCCAATTGACCCGCTCAGCATCAGCGCCATCCGGGCATCAGGCTGGTCCCCCGATATGGACGAGCTCGCCCGCCAGCCCCGCCATGGACCCAACTACAACCAGCTTCTCCACCTCCTCAACGACCTGCAGAACCACCAGTCCGCCTGGCCCTTCCTCGTGCCCGTCAACAAGGACGATGTCGCCGACTACTACGAAGTTATCAAGGAACCCATGGATCTTAGTACGATGGAGACCAAGCTCGAAGCAGATCAGTACGCCACGCCAGAGGACTTTATCCGGGATGCTAAGCTCGTCTTCGACAACTGTCGCAAGTACAATAACGAATCTACGCCATATGCGAAGAGCGCCAATAAGCTGGAGAAATACATGTGGCAGCAGATCAAGGCCATCCCCGAATGGTCTCACCTCGAGCCGTAGAAGGGCTCGATGAGACCCGAGAAGGGCGATCCAAGAAAGGAAACGCCGCCGCAGGAAACTCCAAAGGTTACCGATACTCCTTCGGGGGGGTTGAGGCGGCGGTCGCATAGGGTGCGTCGTGTGTCGTAGGCTTGGTTGGTCACGAAGTAAGTGCAACGAAAAAGAAAACATCGGGTTGAGTGGGTTTTGAAGCTTTAAGGAGTTAGTTGGCGTTGGGTGGCGACTGTAATTTCTCTATTTGATAAGGTACTATCGGATAGAGCTTTCAGGAAGATTACCAGCAGGGTGCTTCTAGTCGGGTCTGGTCGTGGCGTTTGGGGGGGACGCCGCGAGGCTGTTATCAAGCCAACGACTGAATTGAGATATTTTACCAAAAGTCGCACCTAAAATTGCATTTGATTTGTCTTCACGAGCATGACACGTTTGTTGACACGACACGTTGCACAAATAAAAAGTTGCTCAGGGTTATCGCCAAAATTAGCACTTTTATAACTAAGGGCTCTTAGTTAGATACATACGGCCTCGTTGGATGCGGGCCTCGAAATGCAGAGAGTTCTCGTTTCCTCGTAAGCTCTTGTGCTCGCTCATCCAATCCCTTGCAAATCCCACAGAAACATAAGAGCAATCCTTCCAACGCCATATGGGGGAATAACCGAGTGATGTGTAGTAAAGCTGTCGCTCCAATAGAGCGATCCTCCCTTTGCCCAAAAACTCAAGAAACTCTAGTAAGAAAGTAGAATCAGACTGAGAAATCGCCTCTTCGACTGGAGATGCGGGTCGAGGCACTTGTGGAAATGGCGCGTCACACCCGTTGCCGAGAGTCGAGACTACGGAAATCGCAGATCTTCTAAGGATGACAACGGGGCCCAGTTCCACATTGCGCTCCAAGTGCCTGGGTCGGTGTATGGGTAACTCGGTGGCCAAGGTCCCACGAATTCAGCATGGTAGGCATCGACATCGAACTCGCCGGTGAGCGGGTCTATGATCGGTCGGTCTATGGTCGGTGGGCGTCTGCTCGGCACCATGATTTCATGCACAGTTCGAGACAGCTCTTCCGCGCTGATCACATGCGGTCGGTCAACAAATGTCTCAGGCCCACGAGAGGAGAGTTCAGGCGCCGAAACTTCCTAGGCGCCGGGTGCCTGTGCCGTCCTCTGCAAATTTGGGCTAGCTGCGCTGTCGCCGACAGGGAGTCGCAGATCCGAATATGTACGTCTCCAGTTCGTGATTCCGCCAATGTGATGTTCGTCAGTGCCTCTTCGTTCGCGCACCGCATTGCGACTTGAGATAGAGGGCAAGCGGGGAGGTGCTGCAGTCTCCTCGCCACTGCTGGCGTTCTGGTTCTCAAGAGTACGGCGGATAATGTCGTGAAGGAAGTCGGGTATGTCTTGCCACTGACCAGCGCGGGCAGCGCTCAGCATGCGAGGGGGGAAGAGTGCTTGCGGCACAACTGCAACGGCTGCCGCATCGGCTCTCGATGGCGAGATGTCGTCGTTTGAGAGATATGGCAGCTCGCCATTCTCAATGACGTTCTTCAGCCACTGCTCCCATTCCTCGTCCAAGACGGTGGACATGTCTCCGGCCTCTCGTCGTGCTGCCCCCTCTCTCAATCGCTGATTCAGAGCAACACCGACGCTCTCAAGTTCCTCTTCACTCTCTTCGCCGTCCATGTCCTCGTCTCCAGGGTCAGTGGCATCGTCCATATCCACAGACCTTGATCGAGGGTTTCGAACCGGGGCCGCTGGACGGTCCTCTGGCTCAATCCAGTCAGGGAAGCCATCTCCCGCGGTGTCTCTGATGGAGATGCCTTGCTCCTTCTCATAGCGCTCCTTGGCCCATCGTGTGCCCTCCCACTTGGTCAGACCCGCAATCTCGTTGGGGGTCAGACGGAGATTATCAAACGCTCGGAATAAGCGGCGGTGCCAGGTCCAACGACTCAGACGGATACGATGGATAGGGTTGCAGTAATCCAAGCCCGGGTACTTGGCTTCTTGGGTGTCGAGATGGCCGTAGAAGGAGTGGACCTCTTGACGAACCTCCAGAATCAGGCTGCGCTGCAGGAGAGCATGGAAGTTCTGAGGATCGCTTGCGCGAGGCTTGGGAAACATGTGCTCGTAAACGAGCTGGTCGATGGGGCGGCCCTTCATTTTCGGTATCGGCTGAGAAGGGTGGAATCTGTAGCTGAATTTGGCGCAACAGGCGTGCAATCGGATGGGATATTTGTAGCAGCCCGCAACCAGGAGGACAGGCGTTGGGAACGCAGCCTCTGTATCGTGCTGTTGGTCCGCTCACAAGTTGTCTATGTATGGTGGGCACTGATAGCGGCCGTAGAAGAAGTCGAGGCGTCTTCGTCAAGTTGGCGGAGAGGAGTCGTCAAATTTTTGGTCGACCGATTTATTGAATCGTACGTCACGGCCAGGGAGAGAGGGGGGGTTCGGGAAGGAGCTAGGGGCCGATCTGTCGCTGTGTCGTCCGAAGAAGGGAGTTTGAAAGGTGAAGCGGTCTGCGCTTCAACGTAAGTTGTCGTGTTCGTGTGGAGGGTAGAGGCCGATTTTTTCTTGTTCAACGAGGGGCAGTCGAAGAAGAGAGGAAATCGTGAACATGGGAGAGTGTAAACGGGAAGAAGTCGGAAGTCAGCGGCGAGAGGCGGGTAGGGTGGGAGGGCGAGGCGAGGCGAGGGCGTGTTGCGTGAGCGTTGGTGAGTTGTGATGGGGAATCCAGGTATAGGGTGTGGATATTTGATCGTGGGCCCTGTCGGGTGGGACATGGACGTGGGACGGGGATTCGGGCGCGGGCTCCTTCAGAAGGAGGTACAAAGACGAAGTACGTAAGGCCCAGAGTAAGGTAGGTAGGTATGCGTACAGAGTAGGTACCCCGACCTTAATTATTAACTGAGATGGTGGTGCCCTTTCTCCGGGTACATAGAGTGAGTGCAGCGGCGACTGCGGCGACTGCGGTTGGAGTATCCCAAGGAGAAAAAAAAAAAAAAAGGGACTGGACGGGGAATGCCTTGGCTGACAAAAATAACACAGGAGGCACCACCCATCATCTCCTTCCCATCCTTCAAGAAAAACAAGCGACCAGCACCTTCCATTTCTCGAGAGTTCCCATCTCTTGATATTACTGGACCGTGCTAAATATTTGGTGCCTGCTTCATATGCTACGCCTCATGGTTGGTAGCGCCTTCCCACCGTGCGTGCGTGCCTACCTTACCGCAAGGCACCTTGCCGTATTCTCACGTACATAACCCGAAATGGTAGCTCAGGGAAGGAACTGTCTGCACGCACGCACCTTTTATGGCTGGCAGCTTCCTATGATTGACTTTTTTGAGATCAAGTTACGGATACCCTCAGACATTCTTGAGGTTGAGTCTTGCAAGGTCCCCGTCCCAAATCATACATGTCAATATGTCGGGCCAATTCGCGGACTTTGAGGTATAAAAAAAAAAGAGCCCCGCACTTCTCTCTGTCGCTGCCGCGCCCGGTACTTGGACCCCTAAAGGTATCTTTCCTCCCGCCGCTTCCCTCGAGGTACCTCCACCCAACCACGGGTAAGCCAAGGTATATTTCCTTCTTCGGACTGAACATACCGGAGCAAACTGCACTACCAGTGACTACTACAGTACAACAACGGTCACTGATTCGCTCTACAGCTTGAAAGAGTCCATTGGTCGTGCAGGGCCTGGAACACGCGATCGTCGACCTCGATTCCGCCGTTGGGATGGTGGGTGCCTCGTTTTCTCGCAACCGGTCCTGCCTCTCCCAAGTTTCACGCTGTCGCTTTCCCTACCGATACTCGGTGACTCGGTAACAAAGGTGGTGGAATTTGGACTTGGGGAGTCAAAACAAGGCAAATAGGCCCCTCTGCCTCTCTGGGTCTGTCAAAAGTCAGCACCTGTCGCACAGGGGGCGCCCGAGTCATTTCCATCACACGCTTGAGCGACAATCCTTGGCCTATGACATCCTCATCGAGCCAACTTTGTCGCTCAGTCCAGGAAACCGCAACATGACGGACCGAAATGGCGAACCCGGACATCATGGGTGCCTATGCTTTAGCGACCGACGAAGGTTGCTCCTCTGCTTCTCAAGGTAAGGTAGGCTTCATCACTTCCCCTCTCTCACAAAACCCTCGCCGCATCACAGCATCCTACAAGGATTGAGGCCACCAAAGGTCAGATTGAGACCTCGACTAAGACCTGCTGGACCTGACACAGGAGGAACCCGAGCCAACGGCGCGCTTCTTCGGTTGTCCTTCGCAAACACACACTTCCATTTCGCGACGGCCAACGCACTTTGAACTTCCTATCAGCCTCCTTGTAATACCGCTTGCCCTATGGCCGCAAACCCCTCCGGCCATGGGCTCATCTGACCTCGACTGACCGCCTCGACTACACAACCCAACAGCCGCCTTACAAGCCGTCCCCTACCGTCTCAGGAACAGGGGTCCTTTTCATCGCAGCCAATCACATACTCAAAGCCTCCCATCCCTGCGGTCATCCCGCCCTTCCCTGCCTCCGCTTCATGCATTCAGGCCAAAATCTTCTCCTTCGCCCCGTCCACAGCCATCCGCAATCTCACTGGTTCCATTCTTCTTCTTCAACGACCCCCAAGGCTTGGACCTCAATCTGCTCGGTGCAGCAAGAAAAAAGGCATAGCTGCCCTCCTAATTCTCGACTCGATGGATATCTGCATCATGTTATCTCCGTCAAAAACCGTACCGTGGAGCGGGTCCCGTTCGGCTGCATGTCACTCCCGAAGGATGCATGACGCTACATCTCCGAACGGGTTGCCGCTTTTCGGCGGAGATTTTCGTCGCAAATAATTATTTTCGGGTCCGTCTAAACCTCGTCAGCGAGAGGTAACTTTACACAATACCAGACCGATACAAGACCCAGAAGAATCCCATAACTCAGCACCACCAGGGGCCCATTAGTCTCAAGTGGCCTTGGTTCAAGCACAAACCTACAATCACTACACCCACAACGGTACTGCCGTGGCATTTGGCAGATCCCTTCGTTGTGGAATGCTTCCAATCCTGCCCCACACATGTCTTGTTGCGTAAGGTAGCTTCGTCGGAACTTTGAGCGGGGGAACAGCAGACGATCACTGGAAAGCAGAACCCAATGGAATGGCTGGTAGGCCTCGTGATCGCCAATGTGCCGGCCTCTCCATCTTAACTTCGTCGGCCGCGAACCGTAAGCTCTTCAATGCAAGTTTTGCCTCAGACGTGACAGGGCTTACGCTTTTGAACATGGCACGTTGTGCCTGTGTAAGGTCATCATGGCTGTGGCTGGCTGACTAGTCAATTTAACTCAGCCTTACATAGCAAAGGCAATATCACTCGAAGACAACCTCTGCCTCCTGCTGGGTCAAGAGTCTAAATCAAGTTGAATATGTTCAATGGGCCGGC